TTTGTTTGATAAATTTGTTGTCAACCAAACAGCAACCGCCATTCACAATGGGGATTCGATGGTGGTTTTCCGTTGATTGTGAATGGATATGGATCTTTGCAGATGACAATGTTCAAATCGGTGTAGTGCTAAATGGGGGAAAAGGATCTCATTTTCGTGTCCCTCCTCGAATCACTCACTTCTTCTTGTCCATTCGGCACCTCGTTGCACACGCGAAAAGAGAAATCGACAAGGAAATCACAATCGACACAACCGTTCACTTGAATAATCTAAAGTGCTGAGCACAATTACTCAATTATGATGCTAGTTTAGAGATTAAAACTCGACATAGGAAACAACTTGAATTAGACATAAAAGTAAGCACCAGTTGAAGAGTCATATAAGAAAGCCGTGCTCAGCTAGTGATTGAGGAAAGTCTTTTTTTTGATTCTCTCAAATTATTTACCTTCCATTTATCCAAATTGACTCCATGCAAAGCATAAGATGGGAATTGAGTGGTTAAATTGAAAACCGTTATTAACGATTGTGTGGCAGTTATGTAGAAGAGAAAGAATAAGGAGAAAATGGGCATCGTTTAAAACGTCGAACCGATGTGATTTTCTCTACGATTTACTGGGACGGCTCTTTTTTTGAGAAAAGAAACCCTGGTATACTTTGTGACTTTGAGAGTGAAAAAAACCGTAAAGGTTCTTAAGTGCTAGATCAGAATCGAAAAACGTCTACCCAAGGAAGGGAATTAAATGAGAAAACGAAGGGAAAAGGAGGATTATTTTTATGATAACAAGAAATATACCTAAAAAAGATAGGTGAATAGAAAAGAAAATTCATTTTCAGTTCTGTTCCGGTACATCAAAAAACTAAAGAATTGATACAAAATTTGATATAAAAGTTAGAGATTTTTACAGCATCATGATAGCTTTTGTATTTTGTTGCGATTTTGTTCAGCCCTGTCGGCTCTCTGTCAAATTTTTTCCTAATTTACTGGTTGTTGGTTACAATCACTATAATAAGTTATAATAAGTTGGTTATAATGGGTAATTATCGCTATTTGATGCTATCTTTTGCCGTTTTTGGATCTCTTCGATCCCACAGTTCATTTAGTTGTGATGTCGGTGGGTTCTTTTGAAATTGGTATCCGGATCGATTGGATTGGTTTGGCCAGCCAGAAGAGGACGAGGACGAGGAAGAGGAAGATTTCTAATGCAAATTATTGCAAAATTTTGCAAGATCTCAATCACAACAAATGACCAAAAAAACTAGAAGAACAGGATTCATAGCGCATAAGACCTCCCCCAAGATGAAAAAAGGTTTTGAGACGGCACAGCACATAAGACCTCCCTGCAAGATGACAACGAGTTTTACCTGTGCCGTCTCAAAACTCATCTTGGGGGGAGGTCTTATACGCTATGAACCCTCAAGCCCTATGAACGCTATGAACCCTAGGAGTAAACGAGAAATCGAGATGATTAATGGTTTGCTTTTAAAACAAATTTTCTGTAATCGACTATATTTTCAGAGCCAGAAGAGTATCAAGGATTCGTTGAACGATTTTAGCATTGATGATTTAAATGAAAGCCGCTAGTTTCTTTTATTTTTGAATATTTTTTGAATATTTTTGAATACTGTTGGATTTCCTGACCCCGAAAATCCTCAAGTACAAATCTCTGTGTTAATCCAGCGCTAATATTTTTCTGATCTCAGAGACAAAAACACTAGAAAATCGTGAATGATTTAAAGAGTTTCAAGCTATTGTTTCTATATAAAGAATCTATCTACACGAAAAAATCCTTTGCAATCGCAGAATGTTGATTTTCGCGAAAGAAACAACAATGACATGGCATTTTTGATGAAGAAATCACTTTATACGTTGAACTTTTGCTAAATATATCACGTTTATCCCTCATTTCATCGGCTTATTAGCCGTTGTTCAAAAAGAAAGAAAAAGAGCTCTCTGAAACTTCTCATTTTCTCTGAAACTCTTCATTTCACAGTTGTTTTTATCCGCTTCAAAAACAGAAAAAAGAATTTCCCTTCGTAAGCAAGGTTTTACGATTTGTTTTTTCTTGAAAACGTTTGCGATTTTTAGAAAAATTATACTTTTTCCAATTATCTGAACATTTTTAATTAAAAAACCTCTTTGATAATCTTTAAAAGCTTTGAAATGTTATTGAAACGATAATCTTTATAATTGTAGGCTTTTCTTTAATTGTAATTGATAGTTGTAGGCTTTTCTTTAGTTGTAGTTGATAATTGTAGGCTTTTCTTTTTTCTGAAGTAAATTTTTTTTGATTTATGATAAGAAAAATCGAGGTTTGCTTTGAATTCTTTGAATTTTTTTGATGCACTTTCAGTTTGACTTCGATTCTCCAATATTGGATTTTAATAATGAAGTTTTTCAGAAACAATGGCAGATTCAGTTGCATCGTGGGTGGATGAGGAATCAAAAAAGAGAGATTCCGAATGGACGAGAGAAAGGAGCGAAGAAAAGAAAAAGAAAAGCAAAGAGAGTTCAATTGAATTAAAAGTAAGTAATAAGGTCTAAACTCCGAATTTTGATTATTCAATATTCAATCCATCCTCCCAGACTTCATCCGCTGTGAAACACTTGACAAAACGCTTGAAGGCAATTTACGAAGATGAAGGACTCGATTTTGGTGGAGATGTTGATGAGGAGACGATCGTCGATCGATTCGCTGTCAGTTTTACAAATTTAGACAACTTTTTTAGTAATAAGACTCAAAGCTTTCAAAAGTTTGAACTAATTTCATCAAACATCACAGATTTAAAGCTATTTTAAAGATCAAAGATTTCAAAGTTTCAAATTGAAAGCTATTTCTAGCATTGATAATGGAAAATCAACTGTTTTCATTTCAGGTTGCTACCAAAACGCGCAAGAAACGCGTGGCTGAGGTGTTCCGATTAATTCGTCGCTCTCGCAACGTTGAATTGTGCTTTTTAGTGGATGCAACTGGTTCAATGCAACCACATATTGACGGTGTTAGAGAATCGATAAACAAGATCATCAAAAAGTTGACTGATAAAGGACCCCATGTATCATTTAAAGCAAATAACGGAAAACCGGAAGTGCAAGATTTGAAGCTCTCTTTTGTCGCCTATCGAGATCATGGTGACACGAATCAATTCGAAGTGTTGACATTCACCGATTCTGCAACGAAATTCCGCGATTTTCGCGCCAGAATCTCGGCTTCGGGTGGTGGCGATGCTCCGGAAGATGTTTTTGGTGGATTGGAGAAAGCGATGCATTTGAATTGGACGGACAATGCCGGCACAAAAGTTCTCTTTCATATAGCCGATGCTCCATGTCATGGGAAAGAGTTTCACAATGATTTGAGTGATTCCCATCCAACCGGTGATCCAAAAGGGAGAACACATCAAGCTCTATTCAGTCATTTGAAAGAACGAGGCATTCAGTATTTCTTTGGGAAGATCAATAATTCAACTGATTTGATGATCAAAAAGTTCACTGAAGTTTGAGAAAATCGTTTTGAAAGAATATTTGCATGTGGGGAAAGGAATGAATTCAGCGAAACGATACGAATTATCGAATCAAATGCAAACAATAGCCTCGTATTTGGCGCTCAAATTTAGTCAAGAGCTACAGGAGAAGTTGGGAACTTCTATGGTGCTGAAATTTCTTAAAATCAAGACGCTTTTTATTGGAACGGATAAAGGTGAGTTGAAAGATTCTAATTTGGATAAAATTATTAGTAAACTTATGGAAATTAGAGAACTTTTGTCATCTACTTCGCTATGCTAGAATTTAACGTTTACAATTTCTTTCAGTTCTAGCAAATCTATTAGTTACTTATTACTGAAATTAGCGTAAACTTTTATAAAACTTTAAAACTTAAGAGTTTAATTTAGGTGATCGTTTCATGTCGTGCGAGCGGCGATTCGCTGAAACTGACAAATTCGTTCGTTTCACCAACAATGCTTTTTACGGTTAGTTTAATGATAAATAAAGATTTTAGTTTTTTCAGAACTCACTGAGAAGAAAGCTATCGAATTGGGTGTTCCCATTGATCTCGTTCATCAGATAATGGCTTTCTCGCATTGGACTTACAAGGTTCGGTCAGAATTTACAGCAAATTAGCTTTACAGAGACGAATTTACAGATATTAGCTAAATGCGATAGTGAGGTATAGAATAAACAACTAAAGAACTTTAAGTATCATTTATTTCAAAATGATTCCAAAATGATTCTAAAGTTATTCCAAAATGATTCCAAAATGATTCCAAAATTAATCCAAAATTAATCCAAAATGATTCCAAAATGATTCTAAACAAGGTTCGGTCAGAATTTACAGCAAACTATTAGCTAAATGCGATAGTGAGGCATAGAATAAACAACTAAAGAACTTTAAGTATCATTTATTCCAAAATGATTCCAAAATGATTCCAAAATAAACATTTCAGATAACAAAGGGTTTCTTGATGGTTGTGGATTTGGAGGGAATCATCAGTAAAGAGATTTCAACGGGCAAAACGATTGTCATTTTGACTGATCCAGCAATTCATTGCAAAGATTTGACAAGATATGGGAAAATGAATCACGGATTTGATGGGATGAAAGGATTCTTTTCGAAACATTCATGCAATCGTTTCTGTTCGATTTTGGGTTTAGAGGAGATCAAACCAAGCCATCATGATTCTGATTAGAGTTTCATTGACTTTGAGTCATTTTTTAAAATAAAAATTCGAATTTTCATTGTTTTCAAATACCTTTTTATCCCTTTGCTTTAGCGTAACTTTTTTTTTTTGCTTAAAAACAACTCTTTTGTCACTCGTAACTTTGTTAAACTTTGAGATTTCAATAATCAAATAAAGCTTTAAATCAAATAAACCTTTAAAATAAATCCCTAGCATTTCAACATTTAGAAATGATCGAAATAAGAAATTTGAAAAGTTAAATTGTTGATAAAAATGATTGATTAAGAGGAAAAATGAAAGCAAAAAGAAAAAGAAGAATTTTCTCTTCAAGCCTTGAATGCCACATGCAGTCCATCACCGGTATTGATGAGGAAAGAGTGAGAACTGAAAGTTGAGTTGTTTATTGATGAGAAAAGAGTGAGAACTGAAAGTTGAGTTCTTTCAAAGACAATTTATCTGGTTCAATTCAGGTTAGAAGCCAGATTTTAGCTTCAAGCTCTGGCTTCTATAGAAAAACCCACCGTTCATCAGCACTGATGTGTCTATTGCAGGCATCAGTGATGACAGCATCACCGATCGCGTGAACGGCGTCACCGCCAGCAAGAGCCTGCAATACGCTTTTGTTAAAGCATGACTTTTTGTCTTTTTCGATTAAGACTTTACTGTTACTATACTGTGATTAAATTAAATTAGATAACTTACATTATCTACAAGGATTACTCCGCCTGGTCGAAGCAATTGCATACATTTCTCATAGTACAGTGTTTTGTTCGCTCTATCAGCATCAATGAAAGCAAAATCGAATTCGCCGCACTTTCCCTCATCAATCAGCGAATCTGAAAGAAATACGGTACAGTTTTAATAGAAACTTTTCTAAAAACTTTTCACTTAAAGTATCCATAGCCGATCCTAATCGAAAATCAATTTTCTGTGCGCTTTTCGGGCATTCATTGATAATCGATCGACCAATCTGATCAAGAGCTGAATGATCGACATCCATTGATATCACCTAAATATTTCTTTTGAAATCTTCAGTCTATTTCAATACCTTTCCATCATTTGGAACGGCAAGAGCCCAGGCGAGAGCCGAAGCGCCCGTGAATGTTCCTAAAAACATTTATACGATTGAAATAATATAAAATGAAAGTTTAAAATAATATTTGTATTAAACGCTAATGTAAATCAATGTTTTTTTCAAAAAAATTGTATATAATTTTGACCCACCAACATCCAAGCAGTTCTTTCCGTGAATCAATTTTAAAAAATGTTGGCCAATGGTTAAAATCTAAACTTTAATTGTAATATTCATATAAAAACAAGTGGAAGAATATTTTAAAGAAAAAGCTTTCCTTTACCTCAGGCGCTCCAAGCATTACGAACATTTTGTGATTAGCAATTGTGGCATCTTGAAGCTTTTGTTGAAGGGGATCGAGTTTGACTGTTAGCTGAAATATTTTGTATGATAATAATTTGTTGTCATTCATTTGCCTTAGTGCAATAATCAATGACAGGATCTGAATGTTCTGCATAACTTTTGCTAACCGTCGACATTTAGATGTGCTATGAATGGCAGAAAAAGTAGATGAATTTGAGTTGATAGAGAAACTCTGAAACTCTGAAATTTATTTGGTTGAAAAGAAAGTTCTCGGAAATTTCTCAAAAACACGGTGATTTCTCAAAAATCAAGCCAGCCATAAAGTCTTCCCAGATTTTTTGATAAACTTGACTACAACTATAGTTATGACTATAGTTTTTGAGAAATAAGAGATTTCTTGAGCTGAAGTGACTTGGCTACTTTCTTAGTGACCAGCCTTTACACAAGTTTTTAATTGGTTAATGAATAGGTAATTGATTTCATTCAAAATCTAGAGCAAGTACTTAAAATAGGGAAAATTTGTGATTAAGGCTAATTTAATCTAATGCTTTCACTTTTTAGAATCATCTATTTTAAGGTAAAAAAATAAGAGATTTCTTGATTTGTGACTTGGTTACTTTCTGAGTGATCATCCTTTAGATAAGTTTTTAATTGGTTAGTGAATAGGTAATTGATTTCATTCAAAATCTCGAACAAATACTTAAAATAGGGAAAATTTGTGATTAAGGCTAATTTAATCTAATGCTTTTAACATTTCAGAATCACTTATTTTAACAAACACTCTGTGCCAAGAAGATGACATTAAAAAATGATTTTTTTTGAAATACAGTTTCTCTGTGAAAAGTTTTTGGCTTAAAAATAGAGATTATAAAGCGTATTGCTCATTTATGATAGCTTTGTCTCATCAGAAATCGTTTTTCTGGTCCAAAAAGTGAGTTAAATTTAAGCTGGAAAATAATAGTTTTTCAAAAATTTCAAAAATTTCAAGAGAAAGCTGCACTCATTTTTTTTTACAAATAATTTCTTGGAGTCGATTTGTAAATAATAGAAAATGTTCTCGAATTGGTGGATTTGTTTTTAAGAAATTCGATTTAAACTTTTTCCAACAACTTTCTTTCCAATCTAGTAAATCTATGCAGATGATCGTCGCCTGCACAATTGTTCTTGGATGCACGTTACTCACGAATCTGTTGACTAAAATGCGAGGTAAGCCGTTTTTGTCAGAAAACACATTACCCAAAAACGATCGTATACAACTTGCCAATCTAATAATAGAAGAAAATGCTCTCGAATTGGTGGTTTCAAGGAAATTCGAGTTTGAACTTTTTCAAACAACTTTCTTTCCAATCTAATAGCAGAGAGGTATTATATTTTTCTGGTGCAAAAAGTGAACTAAGCTGGAAAATTAAGCTGGAAAATAATCATTTTTCAAAAGTATCTAAAATTTTAAGCAAAAGTTGCAAAGAGAAAAGAGTGCTCTTTTCTTTTTACGAATAATTCCTTGGAGTCGATTTGTAAATAATAGAAGAAAATGTTCTCGAATTGGTGGTTTCAAGGAAAAGTTAAACTTTTTCCAACAACTTTCTTTCCAATTTCTTATCAATTTTATTTTCAATTAAAGTTTTTATCAGAAAATCTGATAAAAAGTGGGTTTATCGAGTTAGGAAATATGATTACAAAGATGTTTATTATTTTATTTATTTTAGTTTCAGAGAACAGTTACTTTTAAACTTTAAATACTACTACTTTACAGAGTAGTAACCTCTTTTCACAAAACTTTAATTGAAAAAGCGATATTTTAAAGAAGAAAGTCAAAGGAAAGACAAAGAATCAATATTTGTCAAAAAAGAAACATGGTGCAAGAAGTGCAAGAAACATGGGAACACGGAAAGAATAAAAAAGAAACCCATAAAAATTATAAAGAGCGAATTCTAGCCTAACCTTCTCGCCAAGTCATGGGTAAAATAATGAATTTTTTGCTTTGATTAAGGGAAAATTCTGCTTGTGGGAAAAAGAAGAATCTAGAAGATCTAGAAATCTAGAAAAATCTAGAAGATAAGCCATGTCATAAAGGAAACGGGGGAAGCCACAAAGTACAGAGATGACTCTGTAAAATTGTCCCAAAATCGGCAATCTGCAAATTCAGTGGGGTTTATCGAGTTAGGAAATATGATTTCAAGATGTTTATAATTTTAGTTATTTTACTTTCAGAGCAGTTACTTTTACTTGAGCTTGAGCAGTTACTTTTAAACTTTAAATACCACTACTTTACAGAATAGTAACCTCTTTTCACAATGCTCAACAAAGAACTTTCTACATTGAGCATTTTGAATCGTCAAAAATGAACGTTTAGATGATAATGTAAAATCGATAACCAAAACAAATCAATAAAGTTCAATGAATTGCAAAATTTCCGAAAAAAAAGAATCAAAGATCTCCTCCAAATCTCTATTCAAAATGATCTTTTCGAAAAAAAGATTTTCTCTAAATTTAGTTAACAAGGAATTATTACAAATTTCTATGTAAACAACAAAAGAAAATTTCATTTATGTTTCTGCTTTTAGACTTTTCTTTTATCTACTTTTAGGCTTTTCATTTATCTACTTTTAGACTTTTCTTTTATCTCCGCAAAATGCTTTTGTTTTTTCAAGGTCAAAATATGGAAAAATCAATATTTTTCAAATTTCAATGATATTCTGAAAGAAAAAATGATTCACAACCTCAATTCAAAAGATTTAAAACTAATTTCTATTCGAATTTTGAAGAAAGAATGGAAAATTGTCTTTACAATTTGAGTCAAGACTCAGTCAATGATGCCAAAATTCGGCTCATTGTTAACGATTTGATTACGGTCGTTTTCCAAAGTTATCCCCTTTTTAGAAAGGTTAAAGAAATGTTTAGACCTCGGACAAATTTAGCTCTTTTGTTCCACTGCAAAGATACACAGCAATATATGCAATATAGCAATATAGCAATTGAAGCTCAGTGGGAATAAAAGTTTTGCATTATTTTGAGATCAAGAAATTTTTTTTATAAAAATCAGAAAAACTTCTTTTTGAAGTAAAATTTAGTAGCAACACTTGCATTAACAAAAATCGAAAAGTTTAAAGTTACAAAAGTGTACGGTTGATAAGTGTTTGTTGGTGTGGTGTGGATCCGATTGATAGGTGTTTGTTGGTGTGGTGTGGATCCGATTGATAGGTGTTTGTTAGTGTGGTGTGGATTCGATTGATAAGTGTTTGTTGGTGTGGTTTGGATCCACAAAAGTGTGGATCCGATGTTAAAACTGTAACACCGAATGCAGATCTCGTTTCACTCTTTTGAGTTGTCTCAACGTTGGACACGGTTTGAGTAAAGGAAAAAGAATAGGAGTAAAAGGAATGGATCAAGATCAAGATCAAGATCAAGATAAAACAAAACAAATCCAGACTTAGGAGATGAATTATAATTGTCATACTTTCAATTAGCACGAGAAGCGGCTATAACAAAATCAGCAACTCTATTGTAGCAAGTTCAGTACCGGAATTCAAAGTGACTCCTGAAATTCGTGGTTTTTTGGTCTCTTTACCTCTTTTCCTTGATTTTAAACGTCTAATCACCACATTTTATGTGTTCTTTTCAAGGCGAAAATTTGATAAGAGTAAAAAATTTCGAGTGAAAAGCCATTCATTCAATTTTTCCTGAAAAGAAAATGTTCAAAATCGTCTTTCTATTCTCGATTTCTTTTTTCGTTTACACGATTGAAGCGGCTTGTCCAAATGGAATGATACCAATCTTGAATGAAACAAAATGTCTCTATCAGTCACCGGGTGAGTTTTTCGTGTTTTCCTAAAATTTCTTTGACATTGAAAGATTTTCGTTTCCTCTGACCTCAAAGCTCAAATTTTAACAATTTCAGCCAAAAAAAACAAGCAGTCAACGGGATATTTAAAGTCAGGGATATTGTTTTTCACTTACCGTAAATACTGTAATAGTACTCCACTCCCATAATGACGGTGCGGAGTGTTGCGTAGTCTAGCTTTGTACGAGTTTTTCTCGACACTGGTTTATGCTACAATGTTCGTTTTGGTATCAAAAAATAGCCCTGAATTTCAGCTTTCATTTAATACTTAAACGAACATTGTAGCATAAATGGGTGGCGAGAAAAATGCCTATAAAGTTGGACTACGCGATGCTCCGACCGTCATTATCGGGCGGAGGGGCTACTATTAAAGGTATTACGATATGCTTTTCTTAGTTTAGCTTATCCCTTATCTACTATAATTTAAACATACCGTAAACACTGTAATAGTACCCCATCCCCATAATGACAATGCGGAGTGTCGTGTAGTCTAGCTTTGAACGAGTTTTTCTCGACACTGGTTTATGCTACAATGCTACAACATATATCAAAAAATAGCTGAAATTCAGGGCTATTTTTTGATATTAAAGTGCACATTGTAGCATAAAGCAGCGCGGAGAACGGGATGTTTAAAGTTAGACTACGCAACCATCCCGAAAAAACTGGTTTTTCTCGACACTGGTTTATGCTACAATGCTACAATAGATATCAAAAAATAGCCCTGAATTTCAGCTATTTTTTGATACCAAAGACGCATTTTTTGAAAGTACGGGCGCTTTGAAAAAAATGAAATACTAAAAACTACTAAAAAACTTTTGCGACTACGCGACTGTATAATGGCGGTGGGGTACTATTACAGTATTTACGGTAAATTCTTCTGAAATACTTTGAAAGCTTTATTTTAGAGTTTCTTATGTCATTTTTATCTGCGTTTTAAGCTCAATATTCTAATTTTCATTCAGATTATCAAGACGCCGATCAAGCAATTCTTATTTGTCAACAAATCGGTGGACAAAATGCTGGATTAGCAAAAATCGATAACTCATTTGAAAACGGATTTGCTTGGCAGTTGATTCGTATGTTTTATTTAGGGTTTTTAGCTACAAGAAAAAACTTTTTAGGCAATTTGGCTCCATTTCTCATTGGAGTGAAACAAACGGCGAATGGAGTGTGGACACAATGGGATGGCAAACCGCTTACGTACACCAATTGGGCACCTGGTTAGTGGCAAGTGTTTGAATAGTTTGATCCTGACGTTTACGACGACTTTCAACACATTTTTCAACACTTTAGGTGAGCCGAATTCGATTGTCGGTTGTGCGGCCATCGATTCCTCGAATGGACAATGGAAAGCGGTGAATTGCTACTTCCGGAACTCATACTTTTGTACAGTTTAAGTAAAGAAATCTTCTTTGTTTTTTTTCACAGTTAACTTTAGCTTTTAACAGTTAACTTTAGCTTTTAAAAGCTAGCTTTAACTTTTAACAGCTAACTTTTAACAGCTAACTTTTAACAGTTAACTTTTAACTTACCTCAAAAACTCCCTGTATAAACTTTTATTTAAGAATTGCATTGAAAATGAAAATGATATTTGAATCGACAAATTTCGCTTTGTTTTTATAAAATTGCTTCTCAAAATTTTTACTGTAGAAAGTTGAGAAAATTAAGAATTTATCTAGCTTGTAGAATTTGTAGAATTGTATCGAAATTGAACAAGAATTGAACAAAATGCTAATACGAGAACATCATTTCAAAATCGTCTAAAATTGATGCTTTAAGCTTTGAGATTTTGTCACGTTTTCATTTTCGAAATAATAAATTGAAGCTTTCAGTTCTGAATTATGAATAAGGTAACTGTCGAAATGTGAAAAACACAAAGATTTATCCAACTTTAAACTCTTGAGGCACATTTGAATTAAACTTTACCGAAATTGGCAAAAATTAGTAATATTTTGAAGCTTGTACCTTTCTAGACTATTGACTTTCCATTAAAGAATTCTGAAACTTATCAGCCCGATGGTAACGGTGATGTCAATTAGACAATCATTTGCGTTAACCCGAAAAGTTTACTGTGCTAGCAAATTTGTAGTACTCTTAATTTCAGCCGAATGCCAGTATCTGTGATTACAAGCTGATTTTGTCTGTCTCCTTTATCTTACCATCAATACAGCCAGATTCCCTGTGTTTTGTTGAAGGTTTTGTATATTTATTGGGCACATTTAAAAGCAAACAGACATTCAAAAAAAACTTTTCAAAATTGCAAACGATGATTAAACAAAAAATAACCCAAGATAATGGATAATTGGATTTCCAAACATAAATGGAAGGACAGAATGGCATTAGTGATACCCGTCTTTCAACAATCAAAAAGAAGCAACCGTTTTCTTTATAAATAACCAGACAACCGCTCCAATTGCTACCGCTTGTTTTCTCTTCGATTTCTCTCACCGCAGTAGCTATCATTTGTTTGTTCAAAAGCGTATTTCCTGCTGATTGGAAAAAATTCAAGTATGAATATCGGTCTGTGTAGCAAGAAGAAAAATAGAAAAAAACCGGATGGCACAACTACATCACCTATATACTTTATCCTGAAAGCTTCATAAAAATCCGTTCAGCAGTTTCCTTTAAAACGCTGCGACAAAAGGACGGACAGACGGACATCCTTCGCTTTAATATAGTAGAGATTCTGACTACTTAACTTTGCGGTCCCGAAAAAATCCCAAAGCTAAAGCTTTTTAAAAACCCTGAAAAGTCCAATATAGTAGACAGATTTACTGGACTAATTTTAATAGCTTTATTCTTTTGGAAAAAAGATTTTTATAAAAAATTCGTATTCAAAACTTCAACTTAATACCGTATTTTCTCTAATACTAATACAAATTTAGGGGGTGGCGTATGGTTTTGCACCGCACTGTAGTAGTGCATCCCACCGAGCATGCCGAGTTGATGACTATTTTACGGTTTCCAAGCTTTTGCAGAAGCTCAACACTCTAATCATCGTCAAGATCTCATCGCGAGCTACATTTTCCGACCCCACATCGATAGGTTCTGATAAGCGATTTGCGAGATTTCTAGGAATTTAAACAACGCTCAGAGTGCACTATTGTAATCTAGAAATACGGGATTCGGTGATCACTAGATTCAGCTAAAACTATTGTAATCTAGAAATTAAATACCTGAGAAATCATCTCACAGATGTTACCGTAATCTGCCAAAGCTGTTTGCTCTATTCTCTTTCTCTCTAATAGCAGTGCACTCTGCCGTGCCGAGTTGATGACTATTTTACGGTTTCTACGTTTTTACAGAAGCTCAACACTCAAATCCCCCACAAGATCTCATCGTCAGCTACATTTTCCGAGCCCCACATCGATAGGTTTTGATAAGTGGTTCTCGAGATTTCGAGGAATTTAGGCGACGCTCATGGTGCACTACTATTAGAGAAAATATTAGAGAAAAACAAAATTCGTTTCATTTTAAAAATTAAAAGTAAACCTTTTAAATGATGAAATGAGAGTAGTTTTTTTAGAATTCAGTACTTGAATTCAGTATTCAGTAATTGAATGTTTTTATTGTTTAATGTTTGTTTTTTGTATCAAAATGACTTTATTCATTTACCCAAACAAAAAAATTTCAAAAAAAAAACATGACTTTAGAAAGAAATATGACGAGATCAGATCGCTTTTGGGCAATGAATTTGGGGAAAATATCAAATTGGCATTAATTTGAAGGGAAAAAGAATTTTGATTTGCTGAAAATTTCGAAGAGAGCACACGGTTTAAAGTAATGACACTTTAGAGAAATTCGAAAATTCGAAAATTCACAAATTCGCAAATTCTGACTAGCACTCTTTGAAAAGTACCATAAAAATTGAAAAAAACTACAGTAAGACTAAGAAAATAAATGTAAATTGAAAGCTTTTCTGTACACATGACTAGAGTTTCAGCTTTTGGCTCATGAAAATTCAACTTGAAAGAGCTAAAATCGAAAAAATCGAAAAAAATTCGACTAGATAGTAAAATCTGAATATTATAAAAGAAGAGAAAGGAAAAATAACAAAAATAGTAAAAATTACAAATTAAAAAAAAGATTATTGGTCAGTGACAAGAAAATCACATAGCTACCTGGGAAAAAACAAGGGAAAACTGACAAGATTTTGATGAGATTCTTGAATTGTGACTTGGAAATTGACTACAATACAATACTATTCGATATTTGAATGAATTAATTTGTGGGTGTGCCCTCAGAGAGAAGCGCTCGAATGGCGCGCAGTTGGTCGCCGGTTTCGTCGCGAAATTTTGTTAATGAAGAAGAGATTCCTGGAAATGGGAAATGTTAATGAGAGTTCTGGATATCATGCTTTAAAATGGAAGCTAGAGTAGATGACAAATCGAGACTTTAGTTTTAGGGTACGGTAACTGAGGTAACTGAGGTAAGTTATGATGGGAATTGAAAGCGGAAGCTGTAGATTTAATGCTGGTGCCTGGCTATGAGAGCATTTCTATCAATTTTGCTTACCTGTTTGCAATTGAATGGGAAATGTTAATGAGAGTTCTGGATATCATGCTTTAAAATGGAAGCTAGAGTAGACGACAAATCGAGACTTTAATTTTAAGGTACGGTAGCTGAGGTAACTGAGGTAAATTATAATGGGAACTGGAAGCTGTAGATTTAATGCTGGTGTCTGGCTCAGAGATCTTTTTGTTTACCTGTTTGCAATTGAACCAGTGTATAGATGCTGTTGAGCGCCATTTCGACTTGTTTCTCCAATCGACTCACTCTAGTGTCCAAACCGGATAATAACTAAACATTTGAATAGATAAGAATTCTTTTTTTTTTGTTACTTGATCCTGTTTTGGAGTGGCTTGTTGGGTTTTTATTTCAGAGAGAGCATTTTTGATCGTTCGAACATCATTTTGCAGAGTGGCAACCTCACCGACAGTTGGCTGGTGAATGGGAAGGACGTGAGCAATTGGAGGAGCCTGAAAATAAGAAATATTAATCAATATTATACTAATAAACTAATATGTATTCCAGATTGAAGATTTATTAAAGTTTTAAGCTTTTCAATAAGTCTGGTGTCAGTCTAGAGCCGTCAACGCTTTAGAGCCCTCATAACCGTCCAGATTCAACAGTTTTAGATTGGAAAAGCTAGTGTGCGATCCAGATCGAGCATTTATAAGCATTTTGAGCTCTCTAAGTGATCTGGTGCTAATTTGGGTGAATGATCTCGATAAAATGCACTCTAGATTGGGGATTTAACTCTTTTCAAGGAGCCAGGGATCGATTTTGATTCGAGATTTCCTCACCTCGCATTCACTGGATCTCTCCGGTTCGGGTGTCTTCTCCTCTCCATTATTTGTGTTCCCCAATGGTGGATAGCCATGATTCAACACCAAATGGATTTGCAGTTGTGAGCCTGAAATTGAAAGTTTAACTGACTCCTCGCTCTACAATTTCCCTTTCTCATCCCATTCCCCTCAAATCCAACATCTGTCAGCCTCATCAACTATGCGATTTTCGTTGGGGATTTTGCCGCCCTTTTATCCCTTAAAACCACTTCAATTTTGAGCTAAATGAAAACGATTTTTCGTCGATTGAATGGTGAGAAAGTGGGGGGAAAAAAAAAGAGAAAATGGGTGAAGGATTTGGGAAATGAGATCACTTTTGTATGTTCAACTAGAATAAGATTTGTTATGTTGAACTTGTGAAGCTAAATCTTTAGCACCATAAGACAAAATGTCATTCTTTGCTTGACAAATGAGTAAAACTCGTAGACTGGCTGAAAAAGTCTCTTGAAAAAAAGATTCTGAAGGAAAACCGTTTGAACTACAGATCTAATAAATGTAAAACTCATTGTTTATCGAGTGAAATCTCTAAATTTCACCTACGATTTAACTTTCCTCCTCTCCGTTTTGGCGTACGGTAAAACGAATTATAATGAGCGAATGTTATTAAAATCAAAAAAAAGAAAGCCTTTTTTGAAGAAAAGCTAAGAAAATTGATTGTTAAAAGTCACTTGAAACTCCTTAAAAACTTTTGAGATAATAGAATTGCTGTTGCTATTGAATCTATTGATGGAAACAAGATTTCTAGCTTTTCTGTCTGTCCAAATTTCATATAACTTTCATCTCAATACGAGATTTTTCTTCAAAAAGCCATAAGTTTTTTGAAGGATTTTTGGAAATGTATTCACTGGATCTCTCCGATTTTGAGATAAATAGAATTGCTAAATTTCACTTTTGTATGTTCAACTAGAATAAGATTTGTTATGTTGAAATTGTGAAGCTAAATCTTTAGCACCATAAGACAAAATGTTATTCTTTGCTTGATAAATGAGTAAAACTCGTAGACTAATTGAAAAAGCCTCTTGAAAAAAGTTATAGAGCTTTTTGTTTTGAAGAAAAGCTAAGAAAATTGATCTTTAAAGTGACTAAAAATAGCTTAAAAACTTTTGAGATAATAGAATTGCTGTTGCTATCGAATCTGTTGATGGAATCAAGATTTCTAGCTTTTCTGTCTGTCCAAATTTCATATAACTTTCATCTCAATACCAGATTTTTCTTCAAAAAGCCATAAGTTGGGAGTTGGGATGGATTGGATGAAGAGGAAAAGACTAAAAGGAATCCTAAAAGACTAAAGGGGCACAAAAACTCCCATTTGAAGAGAAAGAAGGACGGTTTGGAGAAGAGAAAGGGAAAAGATGTTGAATGGATGGATATTGCAAAGATAGAAAGGTATAGAAAGAGGCCATTCCACTGTAAACCACTCTTTCGTACACAGCTCTTTCTCCATCAGCTGGCTCAGCTGGCTGACTGCACACTGTGTGTCTGTCAAAAAGTCATTCCCGGTCCACGATCCCCACACAAGACATAAACAACTTTGAATTTTGAATCTCGAGAGTTCCAGCTTGGCTATAGTTAGGGCTTTCAAAGAGAATTGTTCAGATTCTTTCATTTTTCAGTTTAAATTGGGTAATTGAACCGGTTAACTAATTGTAAGAGTTATAGAAATTCAAGAATTTCGTTATTTACTCAATTTAAAACTCTGCTAGGTAATTGAACCAACAAATACTAAAAGAAATAAGCTCAAAACTTACAACTTACTTGATTGTAATGTCAATTGAACTCAAATAAACTATTTAAAGCTGAGATTTAAAGGATTAGAATGACTTTCATAAAGTTGGCTTAAGTTAAAGATAGTCCTTGGATTAGTCAATCCTTGGCTAGTCAATCCTCGGATAGTCAATCCTTGGATTCTGAATCAAGCTTCAACAACAACTTGAATATGATAGAATTCTGTATAGAATTCTAACTAACAACTTACTTAATTGTAATGCTAATTGAACTCAAATAAACTACTTAAAGTTGAGATTTAAAGGATTAGAATGACTTTCATAAAGTTGGCTTAAGTTCAAGATACTCCTTGGATTAGTCAATCCTTGGATAGTCAATCCTCAGATAGTCAATTCTTGGATTCTGAATCAAGCTTCAACAACAATCAAAAATTAGTGCGAATTCTGTATTTGGATTTGAATCTTTTACTTAATTTCAAAGCTCAATTCTCCCAATAGATGCCCCCTTGTGACTGTAATGGGTTTATTTGAGAAGAAAGAAAAGATAAGACTTCAGGGAAAGTGAGGGATTGACAGAAAGGTCAATCCTTTGATTCTGAATCAAGCTTGAACAACAACTTGAATATGATAGAATTCTTTTTTGGACTTGAATCGTTTACCTAATTTCAAAGCTTTTTAAATCCTTTATTACAATTCTTTCAATAGATGCCCCCCTTGTGACTGTAATGGGTTTATTTGTGAAGAAAGAAAAGATAAGACTTCAGGGAAAGTGAGGGATTGACAATGGCGACAGTTGGTGCAAATCTATTTAAAAGAAAAGGAAAAGAAAGGGGGAAAGGGTCGACAACACGACTGTCGATTGAATAGGAAAGAGATAAGGGGAAGAGATTCGGAGGCAAGTCACAACAACAAGCTAACTGTGTGATTGTCGAGTGCATAGGTTGAGGATAGAGGAAAGAAGCTAAGAATAGATTCAAGGTTTTCAAAAATTCGCCTAACTCAGTTGTGCTTTCCAGGATTTCTAAAAATCGGCTTTATCTCAATTCAAAGTTCAAAGAGCTTGCAAAAACGAGTGCAAGTCTTCAAAACTTGTCTTAGAGATTCAAGATTAAGCAAAATGGATTGAAATTCTCGATTTACAGAACTCTGCTTTGCTTTGCTTTGCTTGGCTTTGCCCAATCTCCCTCCCGTACTCCATTTGTACCTTTATCGTGAAAGCTATTGTATTAAATGGCTGTGTTGAGAGTGAAAGAGTGAGGCTGATTTGCATACATCACTATTCATGAGTGAGTCGAGATTGAGAAGAAAATGAAAGGAGAAAAGAGAAGGCATCTAATTGGCTCTGTCAAATCTTAGATCTCATCATTAAAAAGAAAAATGAAAACAAAAAGACAAAGAGAGACAATAATTGAGAGCAATCAAATGGGCTTTTTTTAAAGGGAATTGAGCTTGAGAGTCTAGATTTGATGGGATTTCGTTGAAGTTTGAAAATAAGCATTGCAAGCAGCAAAGCTATTGAAAAGCTTTCATTCACAATCAGCTTTACCTGATTGTTCGAGCAATAGTGGGTCAAACTAGGCTTCAAGCTTAGGCTCAGGCTTAGTTCTGGCAGTACTGGCATTTCTTCAGTTCTGGCAATGTTTCTTGTTCAGAAGATCCAAATCCTTTTTTGGCTTCTAGTTAATAATAGTAAGAACCGGTTGAAATAACACTGATTTGACTCTTTTCCTTTCTACTACAAATTACAGTCCATTTTACAGTCCACTTTACAGTTTAACCCTCAACATTTGTTCTTATCAACACTAGAAAGCTTATCACTAGATTTGTTCACTAGTTTCGCCAATTTTTTAGTTAATTTCAGTTAATTTCAGTCAAATTCAGTTAAATCCAGTTAATTTCAGTAAATTTCAGTAAATTTCAGTTAATTCCAGTTAATTCCAGTCAAATTCAGTAAATTTCATTAAAATTCAGTCAAATTCAGTTAAATCCGGCTAATTTCACGAGTTTTCGAGCTAAGCAATCGAGATTTCCCTCAAATTTGACGTCAAACTTCAATCAGATCATATTACAAGCTTTTGTCTTTACTTATTTCACAAGAAATGATTCACCAATCTCATTCACATTACAGTTTTCTTTTCCCTGATCTCCCTCCACCTTTTCTGTCAATCTCGAGCTCTCAACCCCCGGATTTCCCTCGAGCAACAGTTGTCTTTTCAATGGGTGACGGTTTTCATAGTCAGAAAAAAAAAAACGCCTCAAGAATTACCTCTTGTGAAATGAAAAGAATGGATATCTTTAGGAAACAAATTGATAGAAAAACAATGAATACTAAGCAGCTTTCAAAGATCAATACTTTTTTGCCTTTTCTCTACAAATTGATAAGTCGAGCACTTGTAAAATAAAAAACTTTAAGTTTTATAGGTTTAACATCCCAAAAATCTCACTTTTCTCTACAAATTGATAAGTCGAGCACTTGTTAAAATTAAACCTGTAAAACTTAAAGTTGTTCAATCTACAAAATCTCACTTTAAACTTGTGTTTTGTGGGGGAGTGATTCGACAAAACTGTATCCCGTGATCTGCCCCAAAAAATCCGAATCTCTTTCTTTGAAAAGTACAAGAGTGAAATCCCTACAAAAACATGAGAATCAACTTTTTTTTTTTTGTACTAATCTCCCCTGAAAAACCTCATGGCAATATAATATTGCCTTCTTTTGTACAAAAGGGGAAAATCTTTGGAAAGAGCTGCATATCCATGAATCCATGGATACGGTTTTGTCTCAGAGAATCAACCTGTCATGCAAAAATACCAAACGAAAATCTAGGCAACTAAATCTAACAAAATATTAATCTCAAATAATTGGAATAATTGAAAATGGGGATTATGAGAGAGAGAGAGAGAAAAGTTGGACTTTTGATAAAAAGAATCTGGTCTTGAAATGTTTTGAGAATCGTTTCGTTTAATTATAGCTCGTTTAGAAAGAAATTTAAAACCAAAAACGATGAATACTATGGTTTAATTACCCAATTGGTTATGCTTAAACTATGTAGCAAACATCAATTTCAATTTCAATTCCTTTAATTACCCCATAAACTGTTTAGAAATCATCAAATTTGACTGTTTCTTATCAATTTCAATTACCCATCTCCACACTCACCTTTCCGGAAATGTTTCCCGCACTCGTTGCATTGCGTTTTCGCGTTTGGCTCAGTTTTTGTACTGTTTGATGGTGAAGAGATGGCAAAACTGTGAATCAAATTTGCGAGAATCGGGGGTGATTGGGTTTTGTCGCGTTGTTGTTGTGGTGGTGAAGTGCAAACGGAAGCGAGAAGGGCATGCAGAGAAGCCGCGCCGCCGATCTAGAAATAAGAATTGTTTATGGAAGATTCGTTAAGACTAGGTTTAAGATTCGATGTTTAGTTACCGTTGAGTTGTGTGGTAGTGGACTTGCAGCGGACATGTCGCTGTCTAAATCTTGCTTCATTGCTGAGTCGGTCATTGATGCTGTGTCTGAAAATTGACAATTTAAACACCAAAGTTTTGGGTTAGATCTTGGCATCATTTTAAGTTCTTTAGAAATCATTCTTTGGCGTTGATATTTCCCATTTCCTATTAATACAATGTTTTCCAGTAAGTCAGAAAGATTAAAGAGCACATTCTGTTGCTTTTTATCAGTCCTTTTCCTATTGCCTATTAGGAAACGATGTCTAAATCTTGCTTCATTGAGTCATTAACATAATCTTAAGTTTTGTTTGTTTATTTCATCTGTTTTTCTTTATAATTCTCTTTAGCTTTGATATTTCCCATTTCCTATTAATACAATGTTTTCCAGAAAGTCAGAAAGATCAAAGAGCACATTGTATTGCTTTTTATCGGTTCTTTTCCTATTGCTTATTGGGAAACGATGTCTAAATCTTGCTTCATTGAGTCATTGACATAATCTTAAGTTTTGTTTATTTATTTGATCTGTTTTTCTTTATAATTCTCTTTGGCTTTAATATTTCCAATTTCCTATTCATACAATGTTTTCTAGAAAGTCAGAAAGATGAACTTTTGGCTTCTTTAAGTGAAGAGGATTGAGAGAAAGAGTTGGAATATGCAATGTGATGCATAATGCGCGCATTCGGGGCGCAAACCCTTCTAAAGCTGGTCTGAAGAGAAGAAAAAGGACCCTCGGGGGCCATCTCTCTCCCCTTTCCCAAGAAAGAGGTGGACGATGGGAGATCTGTGCCCCTTTTTCCTTTTCCATGGCCTTGATTAGAAATTCCGAGTACCGGTTCTCTTCTCTTCCCTTTCATCAGTCAAAACTTCTGCAATTTTCCAAATGCCTGCCAGGATTAGAGAAAATGATATTTGGAAAATTTCTAGAATACAGAAAAGTTTGTTAAAATAGCTGTCATTGCCTTGTGTGCTATCCAATTTGATAGGATTTACATTGAAAATTTATTTAAATAAGTCTATTACCCTGTGTGCTATCCAGTTTAACAAAAGCTTGTTTTCAAAAAAGTTTTTGGGTAAAATTTGAGCTCAAAAACCGGGTGGCTAGGAAAATTTCTTGGTGAGAGAAAGACTCTCTTGTAGAGAAAGCCTCTCTTATAGAGAAAGACTCTCTTATAGAGAAAGACTCTCTTGTAGAGAAAGCTTCTCTTGTAGAGAAAGCTTCTCTTGTAGAGAAAGCTTCTCTTGTAGAGAAAGCCTCTCTTGTAGAGAAAGCTTCTCTTATAGAGAAAGTCTAATTGTCGTAATTGTAGCTAAAAACATAGTTTTATTTCTATAAAATGGTCCCCTGTTATCCAGATTACAAAAATTCTTTGCTGAAAATGTAGAGATTTACAGGAAATCCCTCTCGAATCTGGGAAAAGGGATAAGCAGTGTTCCGGATTGAATATCCCAAAAAGGGTGGGGGGAATACAGTGCCATCGAAATAAGCGGGTGATCACTATGGGGACTATTCACGGGCTTCTCTTTCCCCCCCTCTCTTTTACCCTTTCCATTCATCCCTTTTCACTACACCGAGACAGTCCAACAATTTGGAGGATATTAAATTTTACAGAAAATCCCCCTCCAATATTTGTGTACCTTCTGGACTGTCGACTCCGTTTTCCTCTCCATTTTCTGTTAAATCCATTGTGCCTTGATCGAAGCCGAATGAGAGAAGGATGGCTCTGGAAATTGAGAGATTTCTTTATAAAGTTAACTGATAAAAAATTCATTTTATAGCACTATAGTACAAATAGCTGTACTTAGAAATGTATTGGAAAACTAATTAGAAGAAGATTGAGTTTCTTTAGAGCTCAGGGTTTATTAAAAGACCTATATCTTTTATCGTTTCATATTTTAAACCAATTTTTATGTTTTTCTAATATTTTTGTATTACTTTTAAGAAATTAAAAGTAATTTTGCAAGTGCAAGAATGGAGATCGACAATGAACGGATAACAATCATCTCGGAGCTGCATAAAAAGGGGCAAATTGAGGGAGTGAGACAAATGCGACCTTTTCGTCTCACTCCCAGAGTTGTCCCACTCCCCAAATTGATATAATCACTGAATATGGGAAAATGCAAAGAGTCGTATCTCCAGTACCAGATTCAAATCAGTTAAAAAGCTCAAAGTCGCTTTAAGCTTTGAGTCTTTTGAGTGGGCTTTTGATGACCTAAAGCTAAAGTAATACCTTCTACACTAACCAAGTAGGTAATGGCTGGCTGGCTGGCTTTGAAAGGCTGGCTGGCTGGCTTAGCTAGTTCATTAACGGGCCTGATGTGCCTAATGTATCTCAACCATAGTTCGAAAACGAAAACGAAATGTATTGAAGCAAACGGAGAACATTTTGTGTATCTATTGCTATTCTTTTTTGTTTTAAATATTCTAAATTGGCTTTCTTGTTTGATTTTTTGTAAATTTAGTTTGTTTTCGACAAGAAACGTCACTTTTAACGCAGCCTGTGTTTTCCTAAAATAACCTTTTACACTATTAATAAATAAGGTAGGTAATGGCGTGTCTTTAGAAAATCTAGCTAACTCGCTAACCTAACGTAGATAACAGATATCTCATTTTCCATTCTAGCTTCAAGATCCTTTCCCCTTGCCCCAATCTCTGTCAAATTTCAGACAGACCCCTTTAGAAAGAGCCTCCTGTCGCCCCTTCTCTAAAGGTCCTTCTCGTCTTCGCGCAAATGAGATCAACCCTCTTCACCCACAACAACCCCTCACGGGATGGCACAGGGAATAGAGAAATGGATCAAATCTCCGATCTGGAGCGCACCCTATATTTTGTTGAATCTAGAACCCACTTTTCATAGTTTTCCGGTGATTCATTTTCGGCTTTCGGTAAGAGTGAGACAGGGACTTCTTGGGGTGGAGCTCCCTGAAAATTTGGATCAATTTTTAGCAAATTTAACGATTCACAGCAAAAACAGAATGCAATCAATGTCAAGGCAACATAGAGATTTGGTTCTTTTCCGTTTAGTACGCAATTCAGTACAGTAGCCAGTATTTTTTGTCTTAGAATCCAGCATACCAAAACGGTAGCTTTGTAAGACTACAATGTGCCTGCCAGATGGCTAAAAACTCTGATCTAAACCAACAACTTCTGCTATGATTTCTAGGATTTTTAAAAGGAAACGGAAAAGCACAAAAATTTCTCTTTTTCACAACACCAAGGACACGAAAATACCTTGGTTGGGCCGATGACAAACATCGATTTTTCCAGAAAATCGACCGCGGCCGGGTCTTTCACCGATTTTTTGCCCTAAACATTTGAAAATCGGAGTTTTTCCGCTGGTGAAATACCCGGCCTAACAAGAAAAAAGTACAGAAATCGGGTGAGTGAACATGGATTTTTGGAATTAAATGAGCCTAAGCCTAAGCCTAAGCCTAAGCCTGAGCCTGAGCCTAAGCCTAAGCCTAAGCCTAAGCCTAAGCCTAAGCCTGAGCTTAAGCCTAAGCTTAAGCCTAAGCCTAAGAAGTTAGGAAGCAACAAAGAAGTAAGATTTTTGAAGAAAAACACGATTTTCTTTAAACAAACCTTTTTAATGATGATATCATCGATGCCTATTTGCTCATTTTGCTCCTTTTTATGATGTTTCAAGATATGTTTTGTTAGATTGCCTAAAAATTGATTGATAATTGATCAAGATTCTCAAGAATCTCTGTAGCACCTTTTAGTCGAGAGGATTTCCCGCAAAATTTGCATACAAATGGCTTGAGAGCTGTGTGAACGGATCGATGCTCGGCAAGATTTGAGCGGAAACGGAAAGCTTTCCCGCAAATCTCGCAGACGAAGGCCTGCAATTGAAGGAAATAAATAAGGTTTTGGGTAGAAGAGTTTGTGAGTTGCAGAAAAATCGTCTAGACTTTCTTTTTTTATGCATTTCAACGATTTGACTTATTTCAAAATCCCAGAAAGCATTGTACACTGGAATAATTTTGTTTTATGAACTCTGGACTAGATCAGAACTTGATCACCAACCTAAAATTCACCTTTCAACAGTCTGAAGCTATTGGATAAACGCATTTCAATCAAAATCAACAATTGCTGTGAAACTAATGATCATTTTCCAATTCAAAGTCGATTCTGAACCTCATTTCCCAAGATCAATACAAGAGTTTTCAAAGCTTGACCAATTGAAGACCTTGTCCCAGGCTTTACTCAATTTCAGAACAACTATAGAATAGTTTGAAGCTTACAGATCTATCTGGACTCTCATCCCAAGTACGCCACTCTAAATGTGGCATCAAATTCCTTTCACAACACCGAAGAAGCAATTATTTTCGAGAGGAGACGACCCCTACAGACCTTGAAGAAGGGGAAGAAGGGAAGATAGGAAGATAGGGTGAGAAGGGATAGGGAAAGCACAGGGATCGCCTGAGGCGCTAAATTAGACGGAGAGATGCGCGTCTCTTCTCTTTCTCCTTCTCTCTTTCTTCTTTCCTTTCAGTCTTCTCCTTTCACATCCTCAGCTCAGCCGGTCGGTGCCGATGAGTTGCCCCTTTTCACACAGCCATCCAACTCTAGCTCACTGGGGGACTAGGCCGAGAAAATGGTGATCAATTTTTGGGTTTAGAAATGGTTGACTAGACTTTTGCTAAGCTAACAGGAACAAAACCTGTACAAAGCCATTGTGACGTTGAAATGATCAACTATCAATTGTTAGTCATAAATTTCCCATTTCTGGAAGTCATGTTAGAATATGGTTGATAAACTCAAGCTCAAGGAAAGCAAAGAGTTTTGTTGAAGAGTTGATCACTTGTCTATGACTTTCTGAAGACAGTTTGATTTCAAATCACATGCAATTTTCTATTTTCTATTCCTAGAAGACACCCTATTTATTAAAAATAGCATTTCCCCTTTAGTTGCCTACTTTTCCCCCCATCAACTACCCATTCCTCACAGTATTAAAAGTAGCATTTCCCTTTAGTTTCCCTACTTTTCCCCCCATCAACTACCCATTCCTCACGGTAAGCCTCAGAAAAGAGCTTGACGTCTTCTGGCAGTTTGAGTGACTGAAAAGAGAGATCGAGGGAAAGGAGCACTGAGCATAAACACGCTGGCTGTGTTTGGCAGGGAAAAAGGGGAAGAGTCTCTCTCATCGGCTTGTGCCTACTTTCCACAGACTGAAAGGAGGAGAAGGGGGCCTCGATCGGGGCTCTGTAAGGCCCTTCTCTAGCTAGGGGCCTTCTCTTGCCCGGTTCCCCTTCTTTTCGATTCCCCCGATGGGCACTAGTCATGCGCACAACACGCCACACCGCCTCCTTTCCCTTTGCTAGAAAAAGGCCCCAAAGGAGAGATTCGTCCCGATATTGGAAAGTAAAGGGAATGGGCCAAAGGGTTAGGAAAAGAAGGGGATGAGGATTGAAAGGAGTGAGGAGATAGATCAATGACAGGATTGGGTTTGGTCTTCAATAGAAGCCGAGCCTGTTTAACGAAAATGGTTGTACAGGTTCTTCAGGAAAGCAGAGAAATCGAATTCTATCAAGGATAACTATAAAACTTTACTGTTATGCTTATCGAATTGGATACTGTAATGGAGTTAAGAGAAACTAGTTATCTAGAAAGTGTTAGAGTTAGCCAATCACTGTAGCAACAAGAAATGAATCAAATTAACTGATGTGCTAAGTTGTAACTGATCAATTGATCAAAAGTTATTAGATCAATTGATCAAATTACTAAACCTTACCAATCTCATTCTCAACCAGATCATCCTCAGAATGGCAACATTCCCTGATTTCCCTTTTCTCCCAGCTGTCATCATTTTGCATGCATCCATGTGTTCTCAATAACTCTTTTTCTTTTCTTTTCTCACTACAATCATCTCTCTTATTTGCCTTACAGTAAACATTTCTGTGAAAGACAGTCAAAGAAAAGGGAAGAGGAAGAGAAAGAGAAAGATTTGAGATTGCCAATAACGACCATCTGTACACTCTTTTGCAATTAGTTGGATCAGAAAAGTGAATGGACTGACGAAAGATGATAGATAAGTTTGCTGGGCTTAGGTTTACTGGACGGATAAATAAGTCAAAGAAAGTGCTAGAGCTAGCCAACCACTTTAGCAACAAGAAACGAACCAAACTAACTGATGTGCTAAGCTGCATTAAATTGTAATTTAAACTCAGGGATTCAAGAAATTCAATCTATAAATCTACAGAGCTAGCCATTGTGCTATTGTGACGAAATGGTTGACTAGACTTTTGCTAGGCTAACAGGAACAAAACCTGTACAAAGCCATTGTGACGTTAAAATGATCAACTATCACTTGTTAGTCATAAATTTCCCATTTCTGGAACTCATGTTAGAATATCGTTCATAAACTCAAGCTCAAGGCAAGCAAAGAGTTTTGTTGAAGAGTTGATCACTTGTCTACGACTTTTTCATTTTCGTTTCTGGTTCATCAAAAGTTTATAGTAAAATTTTTGATTGAAACTTGTTACAACAGTAATCCCTTTTACTTGTATTCGATCCAGAAATCCCTTTAGAATATCTCTTTTGATTTTCTGTGTACCCCTTTTGCATTTGTCTCTCATCTCAATCTCCCTCCCGGCCCACCATTAGGTTGTATTGAGCTCCCCTTTTCTCTTTTTCCTTCTATGTATCCAATGCAGAATACCGAATATCGTTTGCATATTTGACAAGCTTTCAGCAAAATTACAGTTGAAAGGAAAGGATAGATGGAAAATCCGGTTAATAGATATAAGAATATATGGATAAACCTATCAAAGCTGTCATTTGGACAGTGAATGCACTACTACGTAGCATCTTCTATCTTCTACACAAAATTACAGTTGAAAGGAAAGAAATCCAGCTAATAGATATAAGAATATACAAATAAACCTATTAAAGCTGTCATTTGGACAGTGAATACAATTCTAAATAGCATCTTCTATCTTCTACGCAAAATTACAGTTGAAAGAAAAGGAATCCGGTTAATAGATATAAGAATATACAAATAAACCTATTAAAGCTGTCATTTGGACAGTGAATACAGCTCTACCTAGCATCTTTATCAGCTATATTTGAATTGAAATCGAAAAAACTTCTTAACTGATAAACAATTGTCAATCCAACACTTATAGATCTACATTTTTAAACTCATATTTACTATTAAATTTCATTTGAAATACTCACCTTATCCGTGTGAAACGTTTGCTGGTGTTGTTGAAGGAGTTTCGAGCTGGGGAAAGTTTTCGAGCAAAGTGAACAATCGTGATTACTGCCAGAGGCGGGTATTGAGAGAACGGAGGCCAATCCATTCAAATCCAAATCGATCAGCGGAGGCTTCGCATCCATTGTGTCCATCATTTCTCACTAAATATGAAACTGTTTAACTGTAAAGACTTTAAAATCTGTTGAAAAGTGGCATTGAGATTGGTAAAGAATTTTGAGAAAGCTTCAGAGCTGAGATTTCAATCTGATTTTAATTTTTTCTTGAAAATAACAAAGTTTCAAATCAAATAGTAAAGCAGATCTAGTAAAGAAGGAAAAGAAAAGGAAAAGCTAAAAGATGAGTGAGTGGTGGGGTTGGCTGTGACTGAGAGGGAGATGGTCGGGCAGTTCTCGGGGCCTAAGGGCATTTGGTCCGAGTGAGGGTGAAAGAGGGCGGGGTTTATCGTCGGGAAAAAGCCTCAAAGAGATGGTCTTTGGCGAGAGATTCGAGAAAGGGGAAACGGGGATCGTTCTGCTTTCATCAATGAAATGAAAGCAATTCAAAAGATCAATCAAGAAAACCTTTGTTTTTCTATTGTTCAGGAAAAAGTCATGTCGGTTTTTGTCACAAAACTGTTTATTGCTAAAAACAAAGCAACAATCAATGAGATATTCTCCATTATTATTGATCCAATGCTCCCATCTTCGTCGCAATTCACTGATCCCATCCTCAACAAAAAAATGGAGAGTTTTCGAGTCAAAATAAGTGTCGACTTTTTTTGATTTTTGATGATTCTCGAACTTTTCTCCCATAAGAAAACTCTTCAAAAACAAAAAATAATCTGATGAGGCCAGGAGCGGACTATAAGGTGCGCGGGGCACAAGTTTCCAGGGCACAAGTCTCCAACCAACTGGGGCACAAGGCTCCAACCAACTGGGGCACAAGTCTCCAACCAACTGGGGCACAAGGCTCCAACCAACTGGGGCACAAGTCTCCAACCAACTGGGGCACAAGGCCCCCCGGCCCCGCACACGGGGGCACAATCTCCAACCAACTGGGGCACAAGGCTCCAACCAACTGGGGCACAAGTCTCCAACCAACTGGGGCACAAGGCTCCAACCAACTGGGGCACAAGTCTCCAACCAACTGGGGCACAAGGCTCCAACCAACTGGGGCACAAGTCTCCAACCAACTGGGGCACAAGGCTCCAACCAACTGGGGCACAAGTTTCCAACTAAGCTCGTCAATTTCCCTTGTTTAAAATCATACCAAAAAGCGGCTCAAAGTCGAAACTTTTCGTCTTGCATTTTGTACCTGAAAATATTGTTAAATTTGTGAAAATCAAATTTAATATGAAAGCATAGAGTGTCTAGCTGATATCTAATTGAAAAATAGATAAAGAGCAAAGCAAAGAACTGGAAAATTGCCAACAACGGGAACTCAAAACCGATATTACTTTTTCCGGAAGCTAATATTAGTGCTAAAGTAAGACTGTGGCTTCTTTGAATAGCTTAATTAAAGTAATCTTTGCTGTATTTACCTTACAGTGAGACGATATCTGTAGCTTGGTACTGAAGATTAAACTTGTTAGATTAAACTGTCAGATCAGATCAAACTGATTTGTTGAGGTTTCAGTAAGGAGAAGGAGAAGGAGGAGAGCTGTTTGTAAGTTTGTATGATTAATTAATTAGTAATTACAATGTCATCACATTTTTCAATATTTGAATCAATATTAAATCAAAAAATTTATTGAATTTAAAAAAAATACAATCTCTTTTCACGATCTCGAGCGATTTCCCACGTAGAGACTACCAGATTGCCTAAAATTAAAAGTTTTAAAAGGTTTTTAAGTTACTAATAAGTTACTAAACCTTTTTTTTGATTAATCTAACCATTAAATTGTTGTACTTTTAACAAGAAAGAGCATTTAAATTCTCGAATTCTTGAGTGAGTGAGTGAGGGGACAAAGGCTCTTGTGTGCTCTTGTGTAAGAAGGTGTTGAGCTTTTCAGTAACGACCAGGAGAAAGGGGGAAAATGGAAAGGAGGAGAGCCGTTCTGCCCAATTTTGGGGGGATAATTCGTGTTGTGGTGTTGGATGGAAAAGAGACAGACTCTAAAGGAAAGCTGTTAGGCACAAAGACGAGAATTTCCTCTTTCTTCATCCACTTCTTGTAATTTTTGGTCGACAATGGTTGGCCTAATGAAGCCAGAGCAACTGTTGAAGATTGAGACTCTAGAGTTTGAAGTAACTTTTACAAAATGTTACTTTAATTGATAAACTTGTTAACGAAAACAACAATTTCTATAGAGAAGAGATTTCTCTATTTCTTACAAAGAGAATCAATGTTTTCAAAGATTTGCTAATCAAATAAACTTTCCAGTTTTGTTTCTACAATAACTCTGAGCTTATAGTAAACTTTATTACTTACAAAATACAACTTATCTTATCAAAGTTTTCATTGGTTAATTTTAGCGAACTTTTCTGTTTGAATCTATTGTGGAGGACTATAATAGCCTTTTACAAAGACCTCGATGAAGATGTGATGGAAAAAGAAAAAAAGGATGAAGGGGAGATGGAGAAAAGGAGAGGAGAGAGGCACTCCGATCCAAGACCGAAGGGGGGCCCAATTGTGGCCGCGGAGGGGCCCGATGGATGAAAGAAAAGGGGAAAGGGAAGAGAACGGACAGACCCATTCAGACACACACTTCATCGATGGATGGATGGGGATAGTCGAATAGAAAGTGGATGTGGCTCAATGGGGAAAGGCTTTAAGAATTCTGTTTTCTTGTATAGCTCTTTTACTGGATAATAATTTATACAGTAATCTCTCAATCCTTTTGAAATCAATGCATCTTTCTGTTCTTCTGGCTTTTGTGTACGGTAGAAAGCTAATGACACTCAAAACATTTGAAAAACATTTGAAAGCCCACGTTGAGAGCCGACGATTATGCAACATTTCACTCTGTTGCTGTTGGATTCTTCGATTTCTGATTTGAATCAAACAAATCCCAAGAATCACCAGAATTGGTATACCTAAAAGATTGATAGAAGAAGATGGTATGAAATTAAAATCAAACCAAAGACCACAGCCATCATTGGAATGTAGATGTGAATGTTTGGCCAAAAGTCGTCTTCAAAGTCATCTGAAAATTGAAAGCTTATTGATAGATAGCTTGTTCGGTATTGTTTATTGTTAGGTGCTTTTTGTTAGATAGCTTATTGTGAGATAGCTTGTTAGGTATTGTTTATTGTTAGGTGCTGTTGTTAGGTGCTTATCGTTAGATAGCTTTTTGTTAGATAGCTTATTGTTAGGTGCTTATTGTTAAGGGCTTTTTGTTAGATAGCTTATTCTTTATCTATTTGCTATTTAAACTCAATTTCTACCTGAGCATTCCGATGAAGTTTGAGACATTCGATCAATAAAGATCTTGTGAAATAATGGGCTATTCGAATGTAATGTGGGATGAAAGGAGAAAAGAAATGCTTGCTGATTACCTTAATTTGACACGAGAAGGCAATGGGATGATGGAAAGAAGACCTGAAGGAGGACTGAGGAGGAGTTGGAGAGATGAGGGAGCACTCTGGCCCACTCCTCTCATGGCAATTAGGCACTTGGCTTCTCCAGAAACCTTAGGTATCACATTCTGAATGTGAGAACGTTTAATGGGAAAGTACAGTTGTTAAAGTTTTACCGTACTTCTTCTAGATAAAGTTACAGTAACCCTTCTAGATCTACCGTAACCCCAAAGTGATCAGCCATATATACAGTAGTCCAACTACAGTAAGCCAGCTACCCGTTTAGACTTACTGACTCACTGTAAATAATGTCCTAAAATGAGTCATACTCTTGGTGCTGATAATACGATAGACAATTTGCTGTCAATTTTGAATTTTCCAAGCCCGCTTATCGCTTAGTACAACTAAATCTAGTCAATCTGGATCACACACTACTTAAAGTAATCATTTCTAGATCAGAAAGTTGACTGTTTAAACTTGAACTTGATCTCGAACTTGATCCACCTATTAAAACCATGTTCGCTTAAAAACTGCGCTCTCATTTCTTCCCATTTTCTTAATTGGATGTCACTATTGAGCCCAGTGTACAGTTTCCGGTAGATTGCCCCCGGGGACTGGTACCACCCATTCACCCTGGACTGTGTTGGTTGTCCCTGTTGTCCCTGTTGTCCTTCTTGTCCCCGTTGTCCCTCCCCTCTCTCCCCTCTATCCCAAGTGCCACCTGTGCTACCAGCTGCCGTCGTTATCCGTTTTCTTACGGTTCCCATCTCTCGCAAAGATCTGATCTTGTATTTATTTGTCTTTCGGCTTACTCGTTGTAATGAGATCAGAACTTTTAGGTACCAAAAAGTTAAAGATTTAAAGATACTCCTAGAAATCACAGCTGACTTTGGTGTGTCTAAAAAGCGTATACCTTACTATTTATCGTTTATGTACAGATAGATTACAATCGTTAAATTCAATCAATAGAACATTCAATTAATTGGACATTCAATCAATAGAACATTCAATCAATAGGACATTCAATCTTGACTCCAGCTCCTTTCAAGCACTCGCAACTCTCCTTGATCTTTTTCTGTGGCTGAATGCCCAATTGGTTCTCACACTCGAGGAAAGCTCGTTGGATTCGATCGTCTGGAGGAGAAAGGGCACATCTAAAAGATAACAAATTTTAGATTATTTTTTTATGAATTTTAGAGAAAGAATTCAAATTTTTACAAGATAAAGACCAATTATAAGACTGTTAAATAATGAAAAGCTCTGAAGAAACACTTTCTCTCAAGTGTAACGATGCATAATTACGGTGCGGCGGTTTTAGAAAGCCTAGAGAAAGGAGCAATCTTAAATTGAGCACAAGAAAGGGACCAACGGACCTAAGGACCAAAGGACCAAAGGGCAACCACCGGATTTCCGGACCCTTTCCACCATTGGGGAGAAATCCTTCAGGAGAGGAGTTCTATTGAAATGGGAAAACCGTTCTTCTTGTCATTTTGGGTTTGAATGATTTTAAGCTTTTGCATTCATTTCATCAAATTCACCAATTGATTAAATTCTTTGATTGCTTTGACTTTGGCAAAAAAGACTCGAGTTTTAGAACAGTTTGAACAGATTCATTGCAGAATTTGATCTTTTATTGATCTCAGACTGTTATCAGAGTTTATTAATAATGTCATTAGAACATTTAAATGCCATTTAGATGCCATTTAGGGAGAAATCACTTTGACTATGACTTTGAATTCTGTAGCCAGTTACTGTAGTTACCAGTTCAAAGCTGGGTCACTGTAGAGAGTTATTGTAGTGACCAGTTCAAAGCTGGGTTACTGTAGCCAGTGACTGTAGTTACCAGTTCAAAGCTGGGTTACTCTAGCCAGTGACTGTAGTTACCAGTTCAAAGCTGGGTTACTCTAGCCAGTGACTGTAGTTACCAGTTCAAAGCTGGGTTACTCTAGCCAGTGACTGTAGTTACCAGTTCAAAGCTGGGTTACTCTAGCCAGTGACTGTAGTTACCAGTTCAAAGCTGGGTTACTCTAGCCAGTGACTGTAGTTACCAGTTCAAAGCTGGGTTACTCTAGCCAGTGACTGTAGTTACCAGTTCAAAGCTGGGTTACTCTAGCCAGTGACTGTAGTTACCAGTTCAAAGCTGGGTTACTCTAGCCAGTGACTGTAGTTACCAGTTCAAAGCTGGGTTACTCTAGCCAGTGACTGTAGTTACCAGTTCAAAGCTGGGTTACTCTAGCCAGTGACTGTAGTTACCAGTTCAAAGCTGGGTTACTCTAGCCAGTGACTGTAGTTACCAGTTCAAAGCTGGGTTACTCTAGCCAGTGACTGTAGTTACCAGTTCAAAGCTGGGTTACTCTAGCCAGTGACTGTAGTTACCAGTTCAAAGCTGGGTTACTGTAGCCAGTGACTGTAGTTACCAGTTCAAAAGCTGGGTTACTCTAGCCAGTGACTGTAGTTACCAGTTCAAAGCTGGGTTACTGTAGCCAGTGACTGTAGTTACCAGTTCAAAGCTGGGTTACTCTAGCCAGTTACTGTAACCAGTAACCCAGCTTTGAAAACTATTCACTCAGCTTTTTCAAAATCACTTCAAACTTTGATCTTACCATTTTATATTTCTTTTCTTAGGGTAAAACTCATTTCAATCAATCAACTCACAAAAGTGAACGCTTTTGTGGAAAATTTGAGAGTCATCTATCAGTGAGAGAAAGAAAGAAGCGATCGGCAGAACTTAAGAAGAGAAAAGTGAAAAGAAAGAGAGGAAATTTGGTAAGTTATCTATCGCTTTTCATCGTTGTGTACCGGAAATTCTTTCTTTTCCCCTTCTTCTAGAGCTCCAGCCTTCACCCTCACACTAAACTCACACTAATCTCAGTTTTACTAAACTCAAATCAATGGTAGATATTGATTTGTATTTGAATATTTCACTACGATGCAAATTGGAGCTTTTGGTTGAGAAAGCGTTGAGATTTTGGTTAGAAAAACGAACTTTGTGACTAAAGATATGCTCAAAAATTGACTATAACTGAAATGACTTTGAATTCTGTAGCCAGTTACTGTAGTTACCAGTTCAAAGCTGGATTACTGTAACCAGTAACTCAGCTTTAAAAACTATTCACTCAGCTAATCGTATCTTTTTCAAATCTATTCTGAAATTAACAAATTCTGTACACTTTCCCGATCCCGAGCAATCAACGAGGTCTTCATTGAGTTTCATTTAGACGAGAAAAAGGCTTTGTGGGACAGACAGGCAATTCCCTTGCTCTCCAAATTGTACCCAACCCTTTCCCCTTTTCTCTTTTCAATTGCCGGATGATACATCTAGAGAGAAGAGAGATGGCTTGTCCGAGAAAGTGACAGACCGGATCTCCCTTCGATTCCCCCAAGGGAGAACGAGTTTTGCAACGATCTCCAACATGATATCGAATCGTTCAACCAATCTAACTATGTTAAATCCAACGAGCACAATAAAGCTAGTTAAAAAAGTCAATACTTTAAGTATTTTATTGGTAATCAATTTTTCAATAAACTTTAGCTTACTTTCTAGCTTATTTTCTTGAATATAGTCTTATAGAAAGCGATCTTTTTAATAGAAACTTTAAATTAACTTTAAAAAGTCTTATAGAAAATGATCTTTCTAATAGAAAGTTTAAATTAACTTTAAATTAACTTTAAAAAGAATACTTTCTAACTTCTTGTCTGAACAATGTTCCTCTTTTGTGTCTAAAGAGAGATTTTGTGATGGAGACAACATGCATTTTGCATGTCAGTATTGGAAAGAGACTCGGCTGAGAGCTGAGAGCTGAGAGCTGTCTCTACCACGCTTCACTGCACCGAAACACAAGTCATCCCACACGGAATTTTCACTGCCACACAAAAGTCCCAAATTTTTCAACTCTAAGAAAGAAATTTGGGGGGACTTTTAAAGCCCTACTTCAACTTGAAGGCGCAATTGATCGCCGATCGTTTCTTTCGTCGTCCAATTCCAGTGAATTCAGCATCATCACCCATTGCACATTGATCAACGCACATCACATACTTTCCAAGTTCTGGAGGAACCTGATTGGGAGTAGATGGTTCCTAGAATGAAAATAAATTCAGAGAATCATTGATTTCTGTGTTTCGACTCTTACTTGTGCCTGTGCTCCTTCAGAATCATCTTCTAGCGGTGATTCGATCACTGGAATCAATGGAATTGTCAGATTTTTCGGTATCGCATCATTTGTGCATCTAAACTATTCAAGAATTAGTCTTCAATTGTTAAAGTTCTGCTAAAGGGATAGTCGAATAGAAAGTGAATGTGACTCAATGGGGAAAGGCTTTAAGAATTCTGTTTTCTTGTATAGTTTAGTTGTTTTACTGGATAATAACGTATGGAATCGTCAGATTTTTCGGCATCGCATCATTTGTGCATCTAAACTATTCAAGAATTACTCTTCAATTGTTAAAGTTCTGTAAGTGAGCTCTCAAATAACAAAATAACAGATTCAATATCTCTATACCATCAAATTAGACTATTTCATTTAACAGAAACGATTCGAGAATATATTTCTGTGTGTAAACCCCGAGTGTGGCATTCATCATCTGCTCGAAAGGAAAGCTTCAGTCAACCGTAATCCTATCCATCCAAAATTGGGGATCTGTTTGGTGGTAGTAAGGGACAGAAGGGACAGAAGGGACAGAAGGGCCCTAGAGGGTCCAGCGGAGGTTTAGGCTCAAGGGGAAGAGAGGAGAGCGCGCCATTTCGGCACTTCCGATTCGCGAGTGGAGAAGCTGAATGGAAAAGGCTGTCAGTCATCCCTTTCCCCTCATTCTCTTTCCCCCTCCAACCGTCTCCTCTCCTCCTTTTCCCCTCAAAATGCCCATCTATGGCCCTGAAAGACATCGATCTCGACTACCAAATGGCCCAGCAGATAGTAATGCCTTGTGCGGTAAAAAGGGACGAATAGAATTAAGTGCTTTTTCTAAAACAAAACTTTATACAACATTTCTAGTCAATCAAAGATTAAACTATTGATTTTTGAATTCATTTTGATTAGCTTAAGATGAAGATTTCAATGCAATAGATCCATTTCGTTTGCATAAGACTTTGCCTTTGTCTTTTGTAGTTAAATACATCAAAACACACCCTTTCTTTGGCACTCAATTTCTCTTTTTACAATAATGAGATCTTGAACAGTTGTTTTGAATAGACTAGGCAATAAAATAGTGAACTGGTTTGGAAATTTACAAATGAACAGTAGAAGCTCTGCTTTATTTTACCCCACATTTTAAACAATAGCTAAACAATAGCTAAACAATAGCTAAACAATAACCACCACTCTTGAATGCTCAATCCTCAATGATTCTATTGAAAAATAACAGTTAATGCTTAAATTTGTGTCTACTTTCTTGAATTCCCCTTATGTTTCATGCTTTTCAATTTCTTTTTCATTTCCCAAACATGGTAAACAGAGTAGATACACAAAAGGGGAAATGGAGGGGAAAACTGAAGAACAGACTGCCCTTCGGGGGAAAGGAAAGGGGAAAGGAATCGAATGGAAAAGGAATGGAAAAGGAAAAGAAAGACTAGAAGAGCTCCCGGGCAAATGTAAACTATTCGGGTGCGCAGCCGGTCGTTTTCTGAAGGGAAAAGAGGGGAATTTCTTTTAATGAGCATTCAATGGTTGGGTGTCAAAGTTGATCATTAAATTGCTTTGACTCATTTCGATTTTTGAATAAGCTTTGAAGTTGAATGGGAAATTGGATTCAGTTTTTGAAATTCAAATTCAAATTCAAATTGAATACACTTTTTCATCTAGAATCTAGAATTATCTAGAAAAAATGAGAAATTACAGATTTTTCTACCTAATCAATTGCAGATTTGCATCCAATTTCAGATCATTTACGATATTTCAAAATTCCTAATCAATTTCATAAGTTACTTTAATCAAATGGTTAACAGTTTCAAGCCAAAGCAAGCCAAAGCAAGCCTTTGCAAGCCAAAGCAAGCCAAAGCAAGCCAAAGCAAGTCAAAGCAAGCCTTTGCAAGCCTTTGCAAGCCAAAGCAAGTCAAAGCATGCCTTTGCAAGCCTTTTCAAATTCCATAGTCCATAAAATTCAATGATCTTAGATTTCTCTGAAGTATTTGACTAAGTTTACCCTAAAATCTTCAAATTTTCTTACTTGGCTACAGTTATTGAAATCAAAATCAATGTTATTTTTGAAAATTTCACTTTTTCCTGTAGAAATAGGGTCGATATGTTGCCAAAGGCTGCACTGGAGCTTCACAAGGGCACACAGAGGGCTCAAATTACATTCAGCCCCACTGAGGCCGTCTGACTGTCCGCTAGAGGGAACAACGAGAACAAACGAGAAAAGATCTCCCTTTCTCTTTCTTTTTCTTCAACCCCTCACACGCTACAGGGAAATTGCATTAAGGGACAGGGTGAGCTGGAAACGAATACATCAAACACATCCAACAACCCGGGGACTGGGAATAAATCTTTATCAAAATGGTATAAGCTTGGCATCAGTTTATTAGTTTTGAAATTATTCATGAAAATTAGATATCTAGTTAACGGTTAACAGTTCTAGTTAACAGTTAACAGTTCTAGTCAACAGTTCTAGTTCTAGTTAACAGTTCTAGTTAACAGCTCTAGTTCTAGTTAACAGCTCTAGTTCGAGCTAACAGTACTACTTAACAGTTAACAGTTCTAGTCAACAGTTCTAGTTACAGTTAACAGTTCTAGTTAACAGCTCTAGTTCTAGCTAACAGTTCTACTTAGCAGTTAACAGTTAACATCTAGCTAACACTTTCTAATTCTAACTTTAAAACAGAATTCAGAATGAAGCCTTTTAAAACAAACCCTAATTCCCCATTGATCTTCTTCTTCACACATCCTTCAACTTTATGCACTGTTGAGTGCTCGATATCAAGACATTGACGAATTTTGTTTGGATCACCGACTTTCTTCAGTATGTTCAAGCATTGATCTCTGAAATTTGAGAATATCGATTTAAATGAATCTTTGATACAACTATCTATTTCTCGAAATGCTGATACGTTTCATTTTCTCGCGAAAAAACCATGACGAATCAAATTGGAAATGGAAAAGAGATGGTGAATACAACAAATTACCGATTTTTGTTTGGGGGAAAGATGAAAACAGATTTTGGATTCTTGTAGCACCAAACGTTTCTCATTTTTTGCTTTCTCTGAAGACAACCGTAAATACAATTGCAGCTAAATGAGGATGGGGGAAAAGAAAATTTTGGAAAAAAGAGGAATGTGTCTGTCGAAGAGAAAGACATAATTAGGTGTCTAGAGATGAAAGGGCCGATGAAAGCCATCCCTTTCAATCCAACAATCCATCATCGCCTACATCGAACATATTTTGGGTATAAACCCTATCAATGTCAGACTGAAGGGACCAACTAAAAAGGCTGGTTGAAGTCTGGTTGAAGGTTAATGTTTAGTTTTGTGTAAATGAATGAAAGGAATGTTGTTTTAGATTTTGATTATTGAAAAAGAAAGCTCATAACTTTAATTGCTTTGCTCTATTAGAGTAAATAAAGTCAAAATTCATAATATTTGATTCAGTTTGTGATTCGATTTCTCGTAAAGTAAGCATTTTTACATCTTTATATTTAAATTGTATTTAAAAGTAGTTAAAAGCTTTTCTAATTATATTCAAAGAATTTATTCTATTAATTTTAGCTATAGATATTCAAGAAGTTTGGTCTAATCATGGAATTTTTTGGAATTTGCTCATACTTTCTTTTTTTTTCTTTTAAGAAACTGATAATAAATTGATCTTTATCGACTAAAATAACCATTTTTACATCTTTATATTTAAATTGTATATAAAAGTAGTTAAAATCTTTTCTAGTATTCAAAGAATTGAAGTTATTCAGTTCATTTTAACTATAGATTTCAAGAAGTTTGGTCTAATCATGGAATCTTTTGAAATTTGCTCATACTTTCTTTCTTTCTTTCAAGAAACTGATAATAATGATCTATTTCTGATAATAAATAGATCTTTTCAACTAACTCTCTCTTGCAAGCTGCTTGTTTTGTGAAAAAGTCAGCCGAACAATCGTCGATATCCTTGCATCGACATTGTGGAGCTGTAGTGAATTGTCCACTTGCTGCCTCGTCAGCTAAGGTGTAAATCTAAAAGAATATTAAATAACTAAATAGAAAATACTAACAACTATTGGTAGAATGCAGATAAGGAATCGCATGATCGGAGTGAACGTTTGAGGCCCAATCGGCGGGGATGATCGTCTCCACAACCATTATATACGGGAAAGACTGGTCACATCGAAGAGTCCACTCAAAGGATCGCTTGCCCATCCACCTCATCCATTCTTCTCCATTATTTACATTCAATCATTCTCTTTCCCTTTTCTTTCTTCTTTCCAAGTCTTCCGCAAACAGTTCAGACGTGTTATCGAGTGTTTTTCCGCTTTCTAGAAAGCGATCAATGGCATTTTTATTGATATTAGATTCTATATAATCATTAAAACTTGAGGATTATCACTTAAAATTCTAAATTTTAGAAATATCTTTCATTTTAAGCATTCCTTAATAGTAAATCCTTTTAAAACAAAAAACAAGAAACTCAAATTTTTCTAAATTCATCCAAATGATGAATGATAAACGAAAATCCGACAAAATTTCATTGCAAAGCTCATCAAGAATTGTTTTAGCGACTCATTTGTGCAATTCTTAACTTTAATACTCATCTCGTTTGTCACAATTGGTCTGAGAATTCGTGAAACTTGAAATTCTCAACGAAACTCAAATCTTTACGGTCAATCGCTATTCGGACACGATATAAACGATAAAAATGGTAATGTTCACACTTTTATTAGTGCAGGAATTTTTCCGGGGAGGATTGTGAGCACGTGAAACTTTTCTCAACGAAACTCAATTAAAAATCTTTTACTAAATCATTTTCTGATTTGAATTTCTTCTTATAGAAGATTCTTATAAAAAAGTTAGAGTAAACGACTCTACAAATGTCAGAACTCGTTCACTACCAGTTGCCAGTTGAAAATTTCACTTTACAACTTTTACAGTTCCAAATTCCCTTCCAAATTCCGTTACGAGTCTGGGAGCTTGGGAACTTTCCGAATTTACTCTATAACTCGACTCTCAGTGATCGGATCGACTTAGGGTTAGTTTTAAAAGAATCCCCGTTAAATTTGGTTATAGAAAAGTACAATTTATTTTGTATACTCATGTGTAAGAACATAGAGAAAAGTTGTGTCAAAGTTGAACTACCTGCCTGAAAAGTCGATTCACTTAAATGGTCTATAACTCGAGATATAGAAGTTGAATGAACTTTTGGTTGGTTTTATTAGAATCTCCATTAAATTTGACTAAAGAAAAGTAGAATTTGTTTGTATACTCATGTGTAAGAACATAGAGAAAAGTTGTGTCAAAGTTGAACTAATTACCTACAAAAGTTGATCAACTTGAGCGGTCTATAACTCAAGATGTGGAAATTGCATTGCCTTGTAATTGCTTTTAAAAGAATCCTCATTAAATTTGACTAAAGAAAAGTAGAATTTGTTTTGTATGCTCATGTATAAGAACATAGAGAAAAGTTGTGTCAAAGTTGAACTTCCAGATAGGCGTCTTGGAGTTCGGAGACCCTTCCAAATTCCATCCAATTCCGTGGTGAGTCTCGGAGTTTGGGGACCCTTCTATTTTACTCTATAACTCGATTTTCAATTGTCAGATCGACTTGGGATTGATTTTAAAATGATCCTTATGAAATTTGGTTATAGAAAAGTCCAAATTCCGTTCGTTATTTACCCAACTTTCCTACGTGCATTGTCATAAATCATCGATTTCACCGATTCCAGTTCTCTTTGTTGTTTGATGATGTCCAGTCTGGTCATTGATCATCGCACTCTTGACTGTGGAGTGACGAAGAGACAACAAAAACCACTTCAAGGGAAACGTTGATGTTTTTGACGGAATTGAAGAAACTTTTGAAAGAATTTATATGTAAGAATTTGCTTTCTGGAATGTATAGAGAATTTAATCGAGGTAATTCGGGGTGCTTTTGCTGATGAAGCTGATGAAGCTGATGAAGCTGATGAAGCTGATGAAGCTGATGAAGTTGATGAAGCTGATGAAGCTGATGAAGCTGATGAAGTTGATGAAGCAAAAGCATCATCTTTTGCTGAAAGTTTGATGAATTTCTTTATGTGCACAAAAATGTATTTAAAGAAGATGATTCTGGTTAACCAAATGAAAAACACCCATAAATTTCTCAACAACAACACAAATCACAGTTTTTTAAATAGGAAAATAAGAAAGATAAATGAAAGAAGGAAAAAGGAAAGAATTAAGAGATTGAGATCTGTTGATTTTCGAGATTTCGAGATTTTTGTATCCGTTGATTTCGCTGGGAATGCTCTTCGAGACGGGCTTTTCGCTTTTGCTCTAATTCGAGTTGCTTTTGCTGAAAGTTTGATGATTTTGATGAAATTTTTGTGAATCCTGGATATCATCGTTGAGTTTTATCTACGATTTGTGGAGTTTGCTTAAATTTAAAATTTTTGTTTTCATAGGTATTGTAAAATCGATTCTTTTAAGGCCAAAATGTTAAGACTAGATCTTTTACAATATTCTATATTCAAATTCAAGTCTCGTACATTCATTTCATGTAGTTCTTGGTCAAATTCATTGTTAAAGAGTCACCTGTGCTAGCATCGAGTCATCCGCCTCAGCCTCACCCCAAGCATCTTGTTGCTCAAGTGGTTGATCGTCCATCATTTGCAAGCCGCTCTAGAAAATGTCTTTTGCAAATCCTGGAAGTCATTCTACAATAGAAAAAGTTTATATGACTTTTGGTGTTTTTTTGAAATAAACTGTATAGCACACTCTGACTTCTAGAGAAAGAGAGAAGGTTTTTGCTTCTTCAGTCCATTGAAATACCCCAAGAATCCCTCCTCCCAAAAAGTAAGACAAATATAATGCTTAACTTTCTCTCCCAATTGTGTCAATTGTCTGTTTTTCCAAAATCGCATTCAATTGAGCACTTTCCCTTGTCAAAATTGGAAACATCAAAGCAATGATTGGGGGGAAATAGAGAAAATGAGTGAAAAGGGGTAAAAAAAAGGGGCAAAAAAAGAGAAGAGAAAAGATTTGCCTGAGGCTGGGTGGGAGGGGAGGGGATGCAACGCTTGAATGGAGGTGCTGAGCTGAACAAGCGATCGGATCTCCGCCGATTTGATCTATCCATGACTCGCCATGCCATCCAGCTTCCCCATTTTCACTTGCCACTTTTGCCAATCTATGTTTATTTTAGATCATTTATTTCCGTTCCTTTTAAGATTGTTTAAAGACTTTAAAAAAGAAAGAAAGAGAGTTTAAAAGACTTTAAAAAGATTGTTTAAAGACTTTTTTTGAAAGTTTAAAAGTTTAGAAATGTCACGAAGCCTTTTTCTCTTAATATTAGCTCCGACGTTAGCTTTGGCAGCGATTCAATGTTATGTTGGGCAAAAGTTGTTCGCTTTGGAAAGTAATATGGTAATTGATTGTTAAATAAGTTAAAGTTAAAGAATAAATTCTAGGCAGTTTGTGCTCCATTCGTTCCATATCATTGTGCAATTGCGTGTGAATGGAAACACAATTGCTCATCAACGGTTGGATATGAGGCATTCTCTGGAAGAAGGACTTTCGTTTCTGGCCTCTTAATCAACTCTAAATCGTTAATGGCACTTTGTTGTACATCGTTTGCGACAAAAATTGAATCTGGTTAGTTTAATTGTTAAAAAGAATCTTTTTAAACATTATAGAACCCCTTTTCCCATTACCAATCTAACTTTAAACTCGAATTTCTTAGTGTAAAGCTTTCTAATTTAAATATTTCTTCTACCAATCGATAGAAAAAGACTTTACAAAGCTAATGATATTAAAAATATTTAAATTAAACAGCTCAACACCAAGAAAATATTTGTTATCTAAAAGAACTGTGTCTTTCTGTTTGTGAGCACTATTCCTCCACCCCCAGTGAGCCGTTTCAAATGGCTTATAATTAGTTTGAATTAAAATTTCATGTAGTTGTGCAACATGTTTTTAAATTTCTAAAAAACCAAAAGTGCTGACGCGAGTGGGAGTCGAACTCGCGTCGTGTGAGCGAGAGAGAAAAGCGCTCGCACTACGCCATTGGATTAACGCCTCTCAAACATGGCCGAGTGGTGAAGTGATCAACAGCTCTCAGGCATGGCCGAGGGGTTAACTGCGTCTCAAGCATGGCCGAGTGCCCAAGTGATCAACGGCTCTCAGGCATGGCCGAGGGGTTAACTGCGTCTCAAGCATGGCCGAGTGGCCAAGTAATCAACGGCTCTCAGGCATGGCCGAATGATTAACGCATGTGTCTTTCAAACGAACAAGAAAGACTCCTGTTGCCAATTCTTTTCCTCTTGATCTCTTAACATTTGTAATATTCTAGATAATCGTGGTGAGCGTTGTGCGTGGAGAGATTGGGACTCAATCCCCGTTTTGGGTCCATCGATTCGAGCCGAACCTGTACTTGGAGTTAATCATTACATTCGTGATATTGAAATGGAAAGAGATGGTGATTCAAGAGTCGATGCAAGAATTGAAGTCTGTCAATATCAGAAAGAGATGGATAGTTGTCAAGCCGAGGTGAGAAATGGAAGAATTTACTTGAATCTTAAATCTTTTTTCATTCTAGAAACTCGAAGAAGCTGAGCAACACCGATTGAATCTATTAAAGCTGCGTTTGGAGCGTTTCCAAAGCAAGTACGATCTACAGAAAGAGAATCAGGCGCCGAAAATCGAGGAACCGGTTGTATCTCATTGATCTTTATTCAAATGCAATTGTTTTTAAATAAAAAATTTGATATATTGGCTTTCAAAATTTGAAAATTATTAAAACAATTTTCTTTTCTTTTTAACTCTTTAGGAATGTTTAGTGACATCCATAGTTTTGTTTGTTTAAGCTTTAAAATCAAGCAGCGATTAGGATCAAGGTTGAAAGAAGGAGAGAAGGAATCCCCGGTTTTCAGGGATGTTTTAAATCTTTAGGAATGTTTTGTGACATCCATAGTTTTGTTTGTTTAAGCTTTAAAATCAAGCAACGATTAGGATCAAGGTTGAAAGAAGGAGAGAAGGAATCCCCGGTTTTCAGGGAAGTTTTTTCGCGCGCCTTGGTGACGCCTAGGGGGAAAGATGGAAGAAAAGATAAAATCGTGAATGTCTTTTGGGAAAGGTTTAGAATTTATTGCCAGTGGATGGGGGGAAAAGCCGATTCCCAGGATTTCGGTACAGTTTTTAAAATGGAAATGAAAGAAAAAGAAAGAAAAAGATGGGTGTCTAGGTGATGATTTAGTCGGCAAAATTGCTTATTTTCTATTTGCACAAGGAGAAATTTCTAAAAATCCAGAAAATTAATCAATTTACACAAAAATTCGTTAAAAATTGATGTTTTTAACTAAAATGTTATTACAAAAGGTTAAATTTAACATTTTTTTTTTAAGTAACATGACTTAAATGACTAATTTTTGTTATTAAAAATGTTCTAAACTATATTTAGAATAAATTTAATGATTAATTCTTATTAATTGATTAATAATCTTTTACTCAATCCAACTATTTACAAACCGTTGTCAGAGCTGTGATCCCGTCATTATTAAAATCGAAAAGATTTCTCGATTGGTGTACACCGGATCGTTTTGTTTTCAGAAGAACCTGGAAACATAGAAAGCTTTAAAATCCCCACACTTCTTCAACCTTTTTCGCTTTTTTAATATCTGGAGCCATGTCATCAAAGAAATTTGGCTCATCCGATGCTTCAACGGATTTTGTTCGCTGTTTTTCCTGGAATCATTGTTAAGCCTTTGATTATTAAGCCTTTGATTATTAAGCCTTTGATTATTAAGCCTTTGCTTATTAAGCCTTTGATTATTAAGCCTTTGATTATTAAGCCTTTGATTATTAAGCCTTTGCTTATTAAGCCTTTGATTATTAAGCCTTTGATTATTAAGCCTTTGATTATTAAGCCTTTGATTATTAAGCCTTCAATTGTTAATCCAAATTCTTCAATTTTTCACTAACTTGTTCCAATCGATACTGTTCAATCTTTCCATCAACTTCAGCTTTTTGTTCCCAACTTGAATCCCATGAGTCAACAGGTTTTTGGCTGTATTGTAGTGAATCTTCGGATGGAGACCGTTGAACAGCGACTAAATTCATCGATTTTTCAGGAAATCTTATCGATTTCCTAAACACAAATCAATTTTCTTTCTAAAATAAGATTTTTGTATACAAAGATGAAAGATTTGTGATAGAAAAGAAAGAAAAATGACTACAGAATCTTGTTCAATTCCCCAACAACTCTAGCCTTGTTTAGAGCTTGTTTAGAGCCTGTTCTAAAAGCTAAAAACCTACATTTAAAACTAGAATCTGACAAATTTCTTCAATTTTTCATTTTTCCCAACCTGTAAACGGCAATTCTCCAATATTATTGTCTCTTTTCCTCAAAAAGCACAATGCTCGCTTGAAAATGCCGAGAAATGATTGAAGAAAACGGAATATTCGCCCACAAAGAAGGCCAACCATCGACATATCTGCATTTTAAATTTAAATCAATTCAATTTTTTTTATTTCTATTTAAATAGTTAAAAGAAAACTCTTTTCACGATTAATATTTGTTAAATAAAAGGATTTATTTCTTCAATAAAACTTCAATAAAACTTTCATTCACAAAGTTGGCAAGAAAAGTTGAGGCACTGGCAAGCATTTTTCGACTAGAATCACCGGATTGATAGGGAAATTATGCAAAAGAATGCAAAAGAAAGCAAAAGAAAGCAAAAGAAAGCAAAAGAAAGCAAAAGAATGCAAAAGAATGCAAAAGAATGCAAAAGAATGCAAAAGAAACAAAGATTATGCATAAAAATGAATAAAAATGACATCGATATGTATGTAATTATATATAATTTCGGTATATAATTTCGGTATACAATTTCGACACAAGTCAAAAGCAAAGGGCTATTTTAATGAAAATAACGATAAAGAAAAAAGCTAAATAGGGGTCTTTTTATGTACAGTCATCCCCGCCGTTATAAATAGCTCATCAAAAATTTCCCGGCCAGTGCTAATATTACATTAGAACAAATTATCCGCCTCTTATGAGTAAAAGAATTTCAAGGTAAAGATAAAGATAAAGAGGGGTGGGACAAATGCGACCTTTTTTTTTTTGCGCACCTAGACATTTGTGCACCCTTTTTTTTTGCTGGAAAAGGCAAGGCTGTAGAGCTTCGAGAATATTCGATATGATAATTATGAAGAAAGATGTAAAAATTTCGCACTCTATAAAGTAATTGCTTTTTGAACTCAAAAGATATTCAGCTAATTGCTAAAATGTGTTCTTTTAAAAGACCTTCATAATTATTCTTTCATTTCATAATCATTAATCGAAAAAATCATTTTCCTTTTGTGCTCATACACGGTATTTCTTCGAATAGAAGACCGGGTAAAGAGTATGATCGCGTACTCCTGCGTAGCAGCCCTTTTTAAAATTTCTTTTCTGCATAAAAGCTTTCAATGAAGTGCTATAGGGCTGGAAAATGATTCAAAAATGCCAAATGAGCTAACAGATTTTTGAGCCATTTTCCAGCTCTATAGCACTTCATTGAAAGCTTTTGTGCAGAAAAGAAGTTTTAAAAAGGGCTGCTACGCAGGAGTACGCGATCATACTCTTTACCCGGTCTTCTATTCGAAGAAATACGGTATCTTGTTTGCCTTTTCTAAAAGTTTTTCTTTACTAATATCTTTTAGGGTAATGAACAAGGTCTTATAAAGTAATGTGATGATTCTCAGCAAACCAAAAACCTCTATAGTCGTCGCCATTCTAAGTAACACTTTTCCCGATTCCTTGAATTATTTATAACAGGGAAATGACTGTACTTTCGGTCTGGAACCAAGAAAAGCCTTTTTGCCTTTTTGCAAACAAGCCTTTTTTGCAGATAAATGAATCCAATTTAAACTTGTGTCCCATTTTGTCGCTTGATGAGATTGTTGAGACAGAGGAAACGAAAAGCATCGGAAAATCCCTCTTCATAATATCGCTGAACGACGTCGGGGCGTGGCGGAAATAAAGCATCCATTGCACGAACACCATTGATACGATTTAGCTGTAATGAAGGATTTGATTGAAAACCTATCAAATAGCTTTCGATCTAGCTTTAGAACTTAAAACTTTAAGGTAATTTTGGTATTAAATTCTCGAAAAATTTCCCATCTGCATCAATCCTTTTATACTGCTGCAATTTTTGTATTTTAAAAGCTTCAAAACAAAGCTTTAAGATATGCTAACTTTGCGGGGAATAACAAAATTGTATAACCTTTTAGATTTTAAACTTTTCTTTAGAAAATCATCAACAACCATTGAGTCTAACCCTTCCATTCTTGTAAATGAAGCTTTCTTTGCTTGTCTTTGCGATTGCCTCTCAATTAAATCATGTTTTACAAACTTTAATCGACTGTTGCCCAAGTGTGATCATCCAATCAGCTGCCGTGTTGACGAGGGGAGAGATTTCGGCATCATGTGAGGCGAATGGAGAGATGGCCACCGTTCTCATCCCGTCAACTCGTGGCAGATTGTTGCTAAGGCCACCATCGACGAATTCCTAGAGAATGAAGATTTTATTTATTATAAAGAAGCAAAATTGGTTTGTTTCTCTGTTCACCACATAACTTTAGTCCCAGTAGAGATTTCGTTTTCTACCGTATTTTCTCTAATAGTAGTGCACCCCGGCGAGCCGAGTTGGCGAGTATTTGACGGTTTCGAAGCTTTTGCAGAAGCTCAACACTCAAATCCCCCATTAGATCTCATGGTCGGCTACATTTTCCGATCCCACATCGATAGGTTCTGATAAACGGTCTTCGAGATTTCGAGGAATTTAGGCGATGCTCAGGGTGCACTACTATTAGAGAAAATACGGTAATATGTAATCGACTACAACGATTTCACTTGTTAAATCAGAATTTTAAAAGATAGCTGTTGAGTAAAGTTAAAATAACTAAAAGGACAATTAAAGGGATTTTGAATAAACGAGAAAGTTTGTTTCTTAATTTTAGTTTTTAACTGTTTAGTTAGTTATTGAAAGTTAGTTAGTTTAGTTTGTTATATTAGTTAGATCAGTTAGTTATATTAGTTAGATTAGTTAGTTAGACTAGTTAGTTTAGTTAGTTAGATTAGTTAGATTAGTTAGTTAGTTTAGTTAGTTAGATTAGTTAGTTAGTTTAGTTAGTTAGATTAGTTAACTTAGTTAGTTAGATTAGTTATATTAGTTAGTTTAGTTAGTTATCCTGTTTAGTTATTGAAATTGTAAACTGTAATAAATTTGGTAAAAATTGAGAGAAAACTGTCTTTTGTAAAATATAAGTCGACTCAAATCAGCATTTAACCCAGAAAGTTAATTAGAAACAAGTTGGCCAGAGTAATTAAGTTAGAGACATTGCTAGAGGCTAGAGACAGCTATTAGAAACTTAATTAGAAACAGCTAGAGTAATTAAGTTTTGATTTTTGATCGACTTGCTTGATCTCGAAGTTGTGGTGGTAAACATCCGAGTCCACTATAAAACGGAATGAAACACGAAGCGGAGAGCGCTGAGATCAGCTCATCTCTCGTTTCAAACTCTGAGATCATTTTGTTTTCCTAAAACAAGATTTTGTAGCGATTTAATGAAGCGAATCGTTACCCTCGTCGACTTTTCTGTCACCGAAATTAATAATTTGCCATTTGCCACTGAAATATCGTCAGGAATATACTTGTCAACAAGGGATTTCACTCTGAATTTGGAATTGATTTGAAATTGATTTAAAACAAGACTCTTCCAACCTTTCATGTAAATAATATCCAGGTGTTAAAGCTCCAAAGGGTTGTGCTCGAACTTCAGCAGCTAAATTGCAGGTGTCAAGTCTTGCCTGAATAGTTAAAACTATTTTTTGGTTAACTCAATATTGAAATACTGTTTAAATAAAAATCAAATATGACAAAGTTTTACTTCTTCTAATCGATTTGGAGCTAAAATGACTAGCGTGGCGCATAAACTCCCCGCCGAGCAGCCGGCAACTTTTTCCACACGTTTCAACAATTCCTGAAACTTGAGAAATCGATTTTTTATAATTAAATTGATTGATTTGATGTCAATTCTCATAACAAACTTCTCCATTTTTCACTAAACAAGCTGTCACTCCGAAATGATATGCAGCCAAGAAGCCAGCCCCAGAAAATGAAAGCGCTATTTCTTCTTCATCTGAAAATCTTATTAAATTTATAAATTATCGTAAATGTTGTATTAGAATGACATTCTCTAATAGAATGACATCACCTAATCCCTCAAAATCTGAGAGCTGATCAAAGCGCCGTGTAGAAACAGCCGTGTACAAGTACAAACAGCCGTGTACAAGTACAAACAGCCGTGTACAAGCAAAATAACCGCTCTGTCGTTAAGTTTTTATGTGTTTTTGTTATTCTTATTTGATGCAGAATAAAATTACCTTCATTTTGCATACTTTGAGATCAATTAAAACAGAATTTGGTGTCAAGAAAAGCTCAGTTAATCTCTTTTGGCATATTACAAGAGCTGTTTGATTGTCCGTTGATCACATTTGTTGAGCTTTCTTTACAATATTTGATATTTTCCTTCCAGATTTGTTCTAAACGGCTTCAAAAGAAATTTAACAGATAGCTAATCATTTTCTATGTTCAATGAAACTGAGAAACACAAATGAATCGCATTATTTTGAATGCCGATGCGCTGTTTTGATTATCTCTTTGAACTTTAGATTAGAACTTGACTATAGACTGACTTTAGATTGACTTTAGATTGACTTTAGATTGACTTTAGATTGACTTTAGACTGACTTTAGATTCTCCTTTATGGAGATATGGATAGATCTAAACCTAATAAACATATTGCCAGTATTAAAACGTAAAAGACAGTATTAAAATTAAAAAACTAAACCTAATAAACATATTGACAGTATTAAAATGCTATTTTTGAAAATATATACATATAATGAATTAATAATTAATAATTAAAGGTCCTCAAATGCATTTGGAGATTCAAAAAGGATCCCTTTTGAGTAAGAAAATAACGGGTAAGAAAATTATCATTTTTAAATATGTTTTTATGTTTTTAGATAAATAATCATCTTTTAAAATGATTTTAAACGAATTAAAGCTGTAAGTTTCAAAAAATGAATTGAATCATAAAGACTAAGCTTATCTCATTTATTACTTATTCTAAATTATTAATTATTGATTTATTTAGTCTTTTTTTCGATTAAAAAATAGAAAAACAGAAAAATAGAGATTCTAAGACAGAATTTAGAGTAAAGAATTTCTTAAAAACTAACCACAAAGCAATTTAATCGGTGGTGGTTCGGGGATGAAAGCTGAAGCGATGATTCCATTGCAATCGAATTCCTGAAAACTTGTTTACAAAAAGATCTTTCTCTCTTTCAATTCCTAATCAAACTCTTCAAAGGCTCACCGTTATTTCCTTTTCCATTTTTTCATTTCTTTGATTTTCCATCACTGTGATTGCTCGTTTAATAAAATTGAGAACATTTGATTCTCGCATTTTATCCAGAGCATCGATCCTGGAAGCATTAATCATTGATCATTGCATTGATCATTGCATTGATCATTGATCATTGCATTGATCATTGCATTAATCATTGATCATTGCATTAATCATTGCATTAATCATTGATCATTGCATTAATCCTGTAAATTTATTATATCAGAATAGAAGAGATCAAATTCAATCACAAATCGAGATCAAAACGCAGATTTAAAGCAGATTAAAAGCAGATTAAAAGTAGATTTAAAGCAGATTTAAAGCAAATTTAAAACTCTATATTCACAAGCTCTCCAACTCTCCCTCAGCCACATCTTTTAACGACAAAATCTCGATTCTTGCCTGTCCTTTCCCATCATTTCTCACCATTTCATCGATAATTCTAAAGGCTCCAGGTTGGATTAATCCAATCAACTCCAATCCCTGTTCATCCCAATTCTCGACCTCAATCTCGTCAAATAATAACTTCAACTTTCCCTGTAAATTCCTTGCTTCTTTCGTTGCAACTGCAACTCTCAACCTGATCTTTGCTCTCTGTATCTTCATCGATTCTCTCAATCTCGGAATCACTTCTAAAGCTTGTTGCTTTGTTGATCGATTCGGTTTCAATGAGAAATCGATCTCAGCCAAAGCTTTATTAATAGTCGATGGAGGAATTGGTCTCTTGGTCTCTGGATTTACCACCATATCCGCGATCAATTGTGCGACTTCTTTAATCGAATTCTCATTCGTCGCTTGTCTTTCTTTATCAGATACTTGAAGGTCTCCTTTCTCCAAAATCAATTTGCAAACCTCAAAATGATCATCAATGCCAAAAGCTGCTTGAATCTCATCTTTCTTTGCTAGTTGTCCTTTGGATACATTTGTGAATACTTGACGTGTTTTCAGTACTTCATCGATGTCCTTTTCACTTCGATTTCTCCAATTGAGTACTTTATTTTTGTAGCAAGCGATTTCAAATCGTTTCCCCATTTTCTTCATTCGAACAACGGCGATATCATTCGTTAAAATTTTCACATTTGTTGGAGTTTTCATGTTTTTCGACATCTAGAAAATCAACTTTTTAATAAAATGAACAAATCTAAAATGGAAATAAAAAGGAAACACGAGCTCTTTTCTTTTCAGATCAACCGTTAGTCCATCTGGCAAAACGCCAAATCGACTAAAAGAGCGTAAAATAGTGGTGATAGTGATGTTTTCTCTACAAATTGGTAAAGGGTTAGGTTTATCGTAATGTTAAAAATAAGGAGATTTTATGAATCTAGAAATCAAATACCTGAGAAATCACCTCACAGATGTTACCGTAATCTGCCAAAGCTATTTGCTCTATTCTCTTTCTCTCTAATAGTAGTGCACCGTGCCGAGCCGAGTTGATGACTATTTTATAGTTTCTAAGTTTTCCTAGAAGCTCAACACTGAAATCCCCCACAAGCTCTCATCGTCATCTACATTTTCCGAGCCCCACATCGATAGGTTCTGATAAGCGGTTCTCGAGATTTCGAGGAATTTAGGCAAAGCTTAGGGTGAACCTTCTAATAGTATTGCACCCCGGCGAGCCAAGTTGATGACTATTTTACAGTTTCAAAGCTTTTACAGAAGCTACAGCTACATTTTCCGAGCCCCACATCGATAGGTTCTGATAAGCGATTCTCGAGATTTCGAGGAATTCAGGCTGAACTACGAGAGAATACGGTGTACAATCGAAGAAATTAAAAGAAATTAATAAGATTGATTTTAAATAATCGTTTTTTAAAAAGTGTGCTTAGATTTTTGGAAAAATCTTTAACGCATTTGAAAAAAGGATTTAAAACTAAAGTTTCCTAAAAATCGGAAACCAACACTCAAAATAAAAAGCAGTGAATGGGGAGGGAAAAGAGGCGAATTTAAAAAGAAAAGGCGCTAGTAAATTTTTAATTCTTTAAGAACATTTTTGGATATTTTTGTGTAGATTGTCTTCATTTCAATGCTTTGGTTTAAAGTTTGTGTTTGCGTGAGTCGTTTCAAAGATATTCTTTTCATCAAGTAACTTGATTTTTTTCAGTGGAAAGCAGGCTTTGGCGAGGAAGCGATTTGAATTTCCATTTGAATTTGTCTATGATATCAGTTTGACGATGAAAAATAGGATTTGAACTTTTCGAATTCTCGATTTGTGGCGATTAAATTCAAAATCTGGTCAAGTTTTACTCAAGAGAGATTTGGAAAAAAAAGGACATTTCTAGGTATTCTTGGTGAAATATTTTCTATTAAGTGAGTGGATTTTTTTTGGCAAAATGAATTTCTTACGGCAAGTTTTCCTCTTTCTTCACTTTGAATTCCGCTCTAGCCGTACACCCCAATCCTCTCTACATCTTTTGGGCGCAAAATAGACTGCCAAATCTTTGTTTTGTTTATGAAAACAAAGACAAAAACTCAAAACATCTCGAAATGTTTTTTACCCTTATTTCATCAGCGAAAAATGCGAATTCGACCTGATGTGGCTAGACTGAAAATTGCAGGTTTCTTTCTCTAACCGAAACTCGAATTCTAGAAACTTGAAATGCGTTCCAGATTAGCTAAAAACCTTTTCAGATGTGAAAGAAGTGGCTCTCTCATTGAGTGGCTGCGGCTTTCTTGGAACTTACCATATCGGAGCCTCATTCTGTTTATATAAACATGGAAAAGTTTCCAAGAAGTCTTGTGCCTTCCAGAATCGAGATTTTTTCAGTTAATGATGTCAAAAGTGACACGAGTGGGTGGAGCGTCGGCTGGAGCGCTTGTCGCGTCGTTGTTGGCGTTGAGACCGGAGAGTTTGCTGAAAGGGCTGGCCACTTTTTACAAGATGGCTCACGAATTGCATCGTTTACCCTATGGAGCATTGACGCCTGGATATGTACTTCAAAAGAGGTGTTTGTTTGGTAGAAAAGGGATTAAAAAAATTGATTCCATAAATCGATTATTTATGCAAATTTTTAAAAGACTAAAATTTGAAATCTATTATTTTCATAGATCTTCGTGCACTCCAGGATCACTTAAAATTCGATTCTCAAGTCTGTAAATTGTAGCTGGATTCAGAAAAAGAGCTTTGATGAGATCAAGTTGAAAAAGCTTTCGAAAACACTCTCAACTTTAAACGAAAAGCCGTGCTGTGTTCCAGGATTTTCGAAATTTCATTTAAAACTGTCAAATTCGACTTGAGATTGCTTGAAATCGTCGACGAGCACATTCCGGAGGATATCTCGCGAGCACAGGGTCGTTTAATGATTTCATTGACGAATTACAAGGTAAAATGATTGTATGATATTAAAGCTGAATCAAAAAATCAAAAATTCAGACAATGAGAAACGAGTTGGTGACAAAATTCCGTGATCGGGAGCATTTGATCGAGTTGTTGTTGGCCTCATGTTACATTCCAGGGTTTCATTAGTTTTTGTTTTGCTTAAAAGTCAAAATTTTGCAGCTACAGCAAGGGTTTTCAAGCGGATTTCCCAAAAATCGACGGAAATGTGCTGAGTTTTTGATCGAAAATTGAACAAATTTCGAATTTTAGACTTATTTTGATGGTTTTTATGCGAATAATTTGCCAGATTGGAGTGATATTAAAACGATTACTGTATCACCGTTTTCCGGTATGATTCAATTACCATAAATACTTTAATATTACCCCAACCCCATCGTAAAGTCGCGTAGTCGCAAAAACTTTTTAGTTTTTAGTTTTTCATTTTTTTTTTAAAGCCCCTGTACTTTCAAAAAATACGGCTTTGGTATCAAAAAATAGCCCTGAATTTCAGCTATTTTTTGATATCTAAACGCGCATTGTAGCATAAACCAGTGTCGAGAAAAACCAGTTTTTTCGGGATGGTTGCGTAGTCTAACTTTAAACATCCCGTTCTCCGCGCTGCTTTATGCTACAATGTGCACTTTAATATCAAAAAATAGCCCTGAATTTCAGCTATTTTTTGATACCTAAGCGCACATTGTAGCATAAACCAGTGTCGAGAAAAACTCGTTCAAAGCTAGACTACTCAACGCTCCGCACCGTCATTCTGGGGGGTGGGGTACTATTACAGTGTTTACGGTAAGTAATTCTAGGGGAATGATTTTAGGAAATGCTGACATTGCTCCAAACGATCCCCCGCCTTTCACATATCCATGGGCATTCGATTTTGGAAAACATTTGATCAGGGTAAATGATTTGAATTGAATTCCATTGGATTCTATTGAATTCCATTGGATAAAGATAACCAATCGAGAGAATGCCTCAAGAGTTTATTGTCAGCTTTGTTTGCAATCCCGTTTGATTAACAAAGCTGATTAACATAAAGTTTGCTTGTTCTCGTTTACCAGAAAACCATTTGAATTAAAAAATGCAGATCGTTCACTGAGATGAGGAGTCAAAAAGCTCAAATCTGCTAGCAAAGAACCTAGATACTAACCAATAATTGATACTCTTTTAAAGTTAAACTCAGAATTGTTTTTTAATTTTAAGGTAATGTTTTAAGTCAAAATCCATACTGTCAAATTTAGAATAAGCTAATATTTCGGGGTTTTGCATTCATCGGAAAAGTGGAGACGTTCTTTGGATTCAAAAATCTTTTGTAGATCAAAAGCTTGAGCTAACCGAAGACCGTTTTGTTCAGGAAATCTTTTCCATAACTTTAGGCAAATCTCCGTAATCTAATCCGTGGAAAGCATGCTTTATTCCCGCCACCAGTCGACGTTTTACGACAATACTATCGACAGGTGAGCTAGAAATTTCAAAGAATATAAACATTAGAAAATGAAATCAAAACTTTCCAGGGCTTTACAGACGCTCACACTTTCCTCAAAATCAATCACTTAACCGATGTCCAATTGACTGAAGAGTTGTTAAAAGATGAATATTTGAGTGAATGAATTAAATGAATAAAATGAATAAAATGAATAAAATGAATAAAATGAATTAAATGAATTAAATGAATAAAATGAATAAAATGAATTAAATGAATTAAAATGAATAAAATGAATAAAATGAATTAAATGAATTAAATGAATAAAATGAATCAAATGAATGAAATACTTTCAACAATCACAAAATTCACAATTTCCCGTCTTTCATTCAATTCTCTCACTCTCACTCACTCAAAAGTGCGAAAAAGAATTTTTGTTTCCTTTAAAAGTCTTCTGTTTTTCCTTTAAATCTCCCCAAAACTCTTTCTTTGTCCAATTTGAAAACCGAAACCTACCCAAAAGCAAACTCGTTTTTGTTTTTGTTTCAACTAGTTGTCACCACAAAATTTCCCTTTTCACCAAGTTTTTTTTTTTGGGTTTTGACGAAGTTTAGAGAAGTTTGGAGACTTTGTGAAATCTAGATACCGTATTTTCTGTAATAGTAGTGCGCACTACTATTTTTTCAACCCCCCTTCAGCCTGCACTACTATTATAGACTGCACTACTATTACAGAAAATACGGTAAGCTCTTCTTTTTGTTCTTTCTTTATTTCAAACCTTTGCTTAGCCTTTAGTGCACTCCAGATGGAAATTTCCATGATCTAAATCCAAAGAAAAGGGGCTATTTGAGGCTGAAAATGATTCGAGTGTCCGATCAAGTGGATTGGTGGATGAGTTTTAGAGAAATTGTCAAAGGAATTGTGACCAAGATTGGCTATTTGGCTATTGTGCGTTCCAGGAAAGCGAATCGAAATGTTTAAAGATCAATTCGTTTAAATTTAGCTACAATTTTGATCGAAATCTTTAACGAATCTCGGTTTTGATGATTCAAAAAGGAAAAGTTTTTGTCATCATTTCCCGACTAAGTCTAAATCTTGTTCATTCAAAGAAAAATTTCTCCCATTTTCTCATTTCTCATTTCCGTACTCGTTTTTCTCATTTGTCTATCGTTTTCTCAATTGATTATCAACTTTTTGTACTTCGGTTTTGGTCGTTTATTGCAAAATTATTGACTAAAAGCTTAAACCGCGCCCATTATGAACCGTTTGCCTCGAAGCTGACAACTTGTGATGCTTCGGACAACGTTTGCTTCGGTACTTTTCGGTTAGAAATTCACAGAGATTCAACTCGGTTAAGCAAGAAGTTGACAACTTTTGACGGGTTTTGAAGTAGAGTGAAATAGAGTGATCATTCAAGGGGGGGGGCCGGGGGGGGGGGGCGCCCCGTCTGGGTTTTTTTTTTTTAATTTTTCCTCAAATTTTTCCCCCTCTTTTTTTTTTCTCTTTTTTCTCTTTTTTTTTTTTTTCTTTTTTTTCTTTTTTTTTTTGGGTTATATTTTTTTTTATTAATTTTTTTTTTCTTTTTTTTTTTTTTTTTTAAAAAATATAAATATATTTATATCTTTTATTTTTTCCCTTTTTCTCTTTTTTTTTTTTTCTTTTTTCCCTTTTTTTCCTTTTTTTTTTTTTTTTTTCTTTTTTTTTTTCCTTTTTTTTGTTTGTTTTTTTTTTTTTTTTTTTTTTTTTTTCCCTTTTTTTTTTTTTTTTTTGTTTTTTTTTTTTTGTTTTTTTTTTTTTTTTTTTCTTCTTCCAATTTCCCCCCTGGTTAAGCAAGGCCCTGCTTTTGGGGGGGGGGGGGGGGGGGGGGGGGAGGGGGGGGGAGGAGAGGGAGGGAGAGGAGGGGAGGAGAGGGGGAGGGGGGGGGGGGGGGGGGGGGGAGGGGGGGGAGGGAAGGGGGGGGAGGGGGGAGGAGAGGAGGGGGGGGGGGGGAAAAGAGGGGGAAAGAGGGAAGAGGGGGGAAGGAGGGGGAAGAAGGGGAAGAAGAGGAGAGGGAAGGAGGGAGAAGGAAGGGGAAGGGAAGTAGAGTGAAGAAGAGAGAGAAAAAGGGAAGTAAAGTGAAGTAAAGTGATCAGTCGATCGAAAATCGTTAACCGAGAAGTCTCGGATGGAGCTGCTTCACCGAGATGAGTCTTTCTGGATGTATAAAGTATCCAATTTTTTTCAAATCTTTCATAATATCATTATTTTTACAATGTTAAATTGTTAAAAATCGTTAAAAAATCTCAAATTTCAATTTCAATACACTAAAATGTTTAAATTTATAAAAATTTAAAGCAAAAGCTTCAGTTTCATCATATTTAAAATAAAGAAAATTTCATTCAATTTACTTAATGATTAAAGAGATTAAAGAGAGAAAGAGATTTCTCTTAAAAACCGCAAAAATGACTCAATTTTTCTATTGTTTAAAAAGAGAGAAACAAAATGGGAACGAGAAACGAATAGAGAAAGAAGACAAATGAGTGATTTGTCTGCTTTTCTCAATGTCCATGCTTTTCTCAATGCAATCCCCTTTCCACTAGTCATCCCACTCACTCCACTAGTCATTTCTCATTCATTCTACTTTTGTACCCTTCATTTTTCACACTTTAAAACATTCTACTTGAATAGATTGAGACAATTTCGATAAGATTTCTTTCGATAAGATAATTTTTTTCTTTTTTTCTCTTTCAATAACTTCTATGCTATCCAGGTCAATTAAAAAGAAGGTTTTAAGTTTATATATTTATATGCTTTTTTTCAGTTGAATAGCGACAAAACAAAATCACAATAATTACCTGGGACATCACTCAAAATTCACCCAAAAGATAAATAGATACCTCAAGAATCACAGAGCAGTCAAATCAAGTGCCGAAATTGCGGTTTTAAATCTAGGTAAGGTGAGAATATCAAGAATATGAGGGGGTAAAATCTTCCATAATTTAACTCGAAGAAACTGTGGAAGCTTTTAGAGGAGATGGAAAGTTCGGGTATGAGAAAAGGCCACCTGGATGGGGGATTCTAGGATGGGGGATTCTAGGATGGGGGATTCTAGGATGGGGTTGGTATCCTAGGATGGGGGTATCCTAGGGATGGGGGGTATCCTAGGATGGGGGGTATCCTAGGATGGGGGTATCCTAGGATGGGGGTATCCCTAGGATGGGGGTATCCTAGGATGGGGGTATCCTAGGATGGGGGTATCCTAGGATGGGGGTATCCTCCACTGTGTATAAAAGATACCCCAATCCTAGATACCCCCCATCCTAGAATGGGGTATCCTATGGAGGCCTAGAGAACCGAATTCAAAGATACCAGACAAAAAGGGGATCGGGATGATGATGCCTTTAACAATTTGAAAGCATTCCACTAACCGTTTAAAGCATTTAAAGCATTCCACTAACCACCAATCGATGATAAGGCCGGCGTTGGTGTAACATTTCAAGACCAAATAGTTGCAATCAATCAAAAGTTTAGCAATTTCATTTCTAACTCGAAAACTCTGGCTTAAATCCAACAATTCCCAATATTTGCAATATAAAACTAAAAGCTTCTAGTAAATCTCTAATGGAGGTTTTTGATTTTTAATATAATCTCAAAGTTTTATAAGCTTTTGAGTAATCAAGTTTTGTTGAAAGATGAATAAAATAAAGTTTTTGATTGTTTAATTCATCAAAAAAACTTCATTTTAGTCAAAAATTACTCCAAAATCGTTTATTTAACACAATTTTTATATAAAAATGATTAAAATGATGATTAGAATGATCAACTTTTAAAGAGCCAAAGAAAAATCAAATTCCAAAATGCATTAATCTTTTCTATTGAACTATTGAAGTCGAAAAAAAAGGAATTGGGAAGACAAAGGTTGAGGGAATCGGATCCGATTACAAAACAGACCTTTGGGTCTCTTCCTCAGACAATTTCTTTTCAAATATTTCCCCCCCACAAACTCTTTTCTTGTCCCTTGAAGGCTGAAATGGCCGAACTCTCAGTCACGCCTCTCTCTCCATTTTCCGATTGACATCAAAATCTGTTTCTCTTGCTTTGAAAAAAATTTTCTCACGCAGCTTTTCCGATTTGAAACATCATTGTGAAAAAGTTCTCTAGAAGTTGAACAATATTTTTTCAATTTTTCTAAAATCGCTGAATTTTATTGTCTAGTTGTTTATTGTGAGTTCCAGAAAGCTCAAAAAATTTCAAAGTTTCTGTTTTCTCTTAATTTTAACTCTTAATGATCAATGTGCTTTCCAGAACTGAGAATTTCTCTCAGAAGTTCTTTCTCTTAATTTTACCTCTTAACGATCAGTGTGAGTTCCAGAACACTTAGAATTTTCCTCAGAAGTCTGTTTTCTCTTATTTTTGACTCTTAACGATCAGTGTGCCTTCCAGAACACTCAGAATTTCCCTTTTCATTCTCACAACCTTATTGAATACTCAGATAAAGACTAGTTCTTGTAAATTTACATAATTTCAACTGAAATGCAGCTTTTCTTCTGGAATTTCTAATAATAAAGAGGACTCTGCTGGGAGTAATTTCGAGTAACGGCGGGAAATCGGCTGAAAAAAAAGGCTCATCGATTTGCGACAACCAGAAAAGAAAAACTGGTTTCCCACATTTGAAAAATTCGAAAACTTTTCAATATCGAATATTTTTGAGAAAAATTGATCGGTTTTATGTAAATTTCCTCAAAAACCGTCAAATATTCAAATTTAAAAATAATTTTCAATGTGAATTTGCCTTTTTAACTTGTAACTTTACAACACACTTATAGGCACGTACAGTCGAACCTCTCTATAACGTAACTCACGGGACGGCTATAGCTTACGTTATATAGAGGTTTACGTTATATAGAGTGCCGTTTTATATAGCTTAACGTCGGCCGGCACCGGTCACGGCTTACGTTATATCGAGGTTCGTTATAGAGAGGTTCGACTGTACTTTGAAATCAGAATCAGTATCAAATCGTTTCTTGGCTTTCTGAATTAGGATGATACCACAAAATCGTGAAATGAAACCATGTGAAATGCTTGCAAATCGGCAATCGGGGGAGTTACTTCAAGATAATTTGGAAACATTTCAACATTGACACGACTTTCACTGTAAATTTGACTTTTTAAATGCAATTGAAAGGAAATTTTGTAAACTCAAACCTCTACCAAATCCCCGAAAACATCCAAAAATAGAGCTACTTTCTTTATTCCTTTCACACTTCCTTTTTCTTTTCATTCTATTTTTCGGCGCTCTTTTTTTCAGCTTTTGTTTGAGAGCAAATGAAAATAAACAAATGATTTGAAGGAAAAAAAAGTGAAAGTGAAAGAAAGATTTGTGAAAAAAAGAAAGAAAAAACTTTGATCCTGGAACACAGTCTACCCATTTTTCAATCTAATCAAATTTGTCGACTCATTTTCGCATTTTCTCACATTCATCTCAATCACAAGTACCTGGGTGGGTGGAAAAAAGAAAAAAAGAAAAGAAAAACCCCATCCTTCTTGTAAGTGCTTACTTTCGTGCATTCCAGCATTCACGAATCACTCAGTGTTATGCTCATTCTATCTACTGAAACCTTTTTTAAGCCTCCGTAACATTTCATCAGTGTAGTGTCTAGAGTTTCCAAGGCACTTCGATCCAATCACTGTTTTAATAGTCAAATTGGTGCTCACAAGTCACATTCAAGCATAAATTTGATGAATTAAAATGAAATAGAATTTTTGATTTTATAGTTGGCTACAAAAGCCGAAAAAAATCGTATAATCAAGTTTTTTGAATTTTCTGGAATTCATTGATAAACTTGGCTTAGGCTAATCTAGACAGGAACCTTTTTTTTCCAAACTTTCTCCAACTCATTCATCACCTTTTTCTTTCTCGACTCGAATGACTGACCTCTGATTGCTCTCCAGGGATCATTGTGGTTACATTTTGTGAAACCAACTGAATGGGCTTTTTTTTCTCATAAAAATCTAATCGGTGTGTGATGCATTACACTGAGAAGTTAAATGGAAAGACTCTTGTGTTTCGATGAGAAATGAGACGGCTGTTTTGATCGGGTTTCTATCTTTTTCTCTTGAAATCTCTTTCTTTCATCATTCACTTTTTTTTTCCGGAAGTTCCTCGACTTTTAGCTATTCTGTTTTTAATATTGATTTAAGCTTTTTCATTTTGATTGATTTAAGTGAGACCAACATAAATTTAGCAATCAATCAATCAATCAAATCCAATTCCATTTCGTTTCCCTCACCTGTCTTGTTGAGCAAAGGTATACCAAGAAATCCCACGGCGTCTCCAAGCTGTTAATGTAGGAATTTGGACCACCGTAACTGAAAACAAAATTTGAATTCTATCATTTCTACCCGTCAACTCACACATCCAACAAAACGGGATACGTTTCAGTTGGATCGAACTTTGGCGGTCGCATGATTCCCACGTGAGCTTCTGAAATCAATTTCACATTTCAATACCATTTTTCACACTCACCAATCTTTGAGGCCAACATAACTTTCTCGAAAGTGATAATCGGCTCATCAAAAGCTAAACGAGGTGCCTCGAAGCCTCTGAGTTGATCAATTAAACCCTTTTCCATCATTTTTCCAACTTCTGGATGTCACTAGAAACTTTAAAATCAAAATTTTCCACTTAACTTCTCGAAATTCCTTTACTGTACAACTTACACTCGTTATTATTGGCTTTATTCATGAGGTAAAGCCGCCCATTGACAACGTTTTTTTAAATGTTGATAATTTCTACATTCATTACTTCAAGAAGTACACTCAGAATATTATCAAAACAGAACAGAAAAAGCGCTTGTTCTTTAACCAAATTTCGGACTAACAAGCGCTGTTTTTTAACCGCATTTCGGACTAACTTTGGCTAGTTTTGGTTAGCTTACAAGAAATTCCGGTCTTTACCTGGTTTAGCCTTGCCTACCTTCACTACAGGGCTAATTGAGCCTTGAAAAAGCGGGTGAATGAGCTAGAAATTGAGCCAGAACATTACTCACTTACATTTTGGAATACTTTGATACAAAAATACTTAAAATTGTCCTATTTAGCTTTCCATTCAATATCTCTAAATGATTTTTCCACAAAAAAACCACTATAGACAGTACTGGACAATGAAATTTGTATTTGAAATGATATTTGAAATGATATTTGAAATGATATTTGAAATGATATTTGAAATGATATTTGAAAAAAAGATCGTCACTTTCGCGCGTCTGTAACTCCATTGTCTTTGAGTTTAAACTATTAGTGTTATACCATTTCTGAAAGCTCTTTTCGACGGCTACACAATGGTAATATTAATATTTAGAAATACGGTAAAGACAAGGGAGTTATAGAGGTTACAGACATTTACCTTCACTACAGGAGTTATAGAGGTTACAGACGTTTACCTTCACTAGAGGAGTTACAACAAGTTACAGATGTTTACCTTCACTACAGGAGTTACAGACGTTACAGACGTTTACCTTCACTACAGGAGTTACAAGACAAGGGAGTTACAGACGAGACGATCTTTGAGTGACGATCGTTTTTCAAATATCATATTTCATTGTCCAGTACTTTGTGTTCTATTTTATAAAGTATTTCCAGAGCTACCGGATATTTGCAAGTGTCGATTAGCCCATCTGTATTCGGTGTCGACAAACTTGTTTGAAGAAGGGGAAATTGAAGGAGTGACCCCAGAAAAGGAAAAGAGAGAAGAGGGGGAAAGGGATACCTCGAGAACAGAGCAACACAACACGTATTACCTGGAAGAGAAAGCGAAAGAGAGATCATCGCTCGTCTCGTTCGCACACAACAAACAACAAACAAAAGTGAGTGGTTGAGGAAAAGTGGAATTGAGAATTGGACACTATGGATATCACTGGACAACTTTTGCTAGACTATTAGTTAAATTCTTGAGTTTTTAATGATCTTGCAATAGATTATGGATGTCACTAGGCAATTTTCATTGATCAAATCTCATTTTAGAGCCAATCCTTTTCTTCAGCTCTGATTTGTATGATGTGATCGAGTGAAACGCATATGGCCGAGAAAAATGTGAGTCCTGAAAGGTATCCAATCAATTCGAATTTTCAGCAATGGACATGTTGCGCTTGGAGAGCGATCCTTGTCTCCGCTTTTGCTTTAGGCGTTCTTGTTTGCATCGCGATCTCCGTTGTTTTGCTGTTAACACAGAAACGTTAGTGAAAACAAAAGTTTAACCAAAACAAACAAATTCCAGCGGTAAACTTGGGCGAAGTCGGTGATGCGGCGGCGTGGGACACAGGGAATGTGTCGATTCGACGGAAACCTGCTCATTATCGGTTCTTTAGGTCTTGTGACATCCAGAATAAAACTTTAGACCCTTCACATTCGAGGATTTGCTCTCAAATAAGCAACACGTTCGATCAATGTATTCAGTGAAGTGGTTGGCAGATGATAGTTTGATCATTGCAGCCGAGCCAACGATTCCATTAGAAGAGGTGACATCCAGATAGTCTGAAAATAAATAAGAAAAGCTCAGGATGGTGCCTCGTTGAATATAATTCGATCGAACAATTTCTCGGAGGAGTTGTGGGTGCCCGACTCTGAGTTTATCGCTGGTTTTACAGGTTTTTGATTCAATTTTTTGATTGGGAAGGTAATTTCAACAATTTTAAGGTGATTTATCAGGTGAACGCGTGAAATTCTCTCCATCAGGCAAATATGTAGCGTTGAGCAAGTTGCTTTCTCACGTAAGTATTGAAAAAGTGACTTAGATGACTTCTTAAAGCACTAACTTTTATAAAAACTATAATTCTAGTACAGTAATCTTCTAGATTCATTACAGTAATTCAAAATTTTTTTTTAATTTTTCAGGGTTTTCGTCATTCTGAAGATTCTCTCTACCAAATCGCTAAAATCAGTGATGGAAAATTATCGTAATTTGGCTTTAATTATTGTAAATTTGAATATATTCTAGGAAATATACATTTGTTGGTCCAAAAGGAACAGGTCTCGAAGCAATCTCGAGTTTTCGATGGAATCCGAATCCAGAAAAACACGATTTTGTAAGTTTATTAACTGTTTTAGAAAGAATTGTCAAATCGAAAGCAAAAGCAAAAGCGAAAACTTTCGATTAATCCATCAGATCAGCCTCAAACCATTCTAGAATCTATCTTTCCTTTCAGATTTTTGTCTCCGATTTTAACGTCTACTACCAGAGTGACCCTGGAGCACCAGGATCGGCGATCGCTTTGTCTGAGAATGGAAAATCTTTCTATCGATATGGTCTTGCCGATTGGCTGTATGAGGGTACGGTGATATCCAGAAAGTCCAATACTTTAACTGATTTTGTCACTTATTGCTTAAAATCAGCGAAAACCCTTCTAAAACCCGAGCGTGTAATCCAGATCACCCAAAAACATGTTCAAAGCTCGTAAAAACCTTTCCAAATTCCGTGCTGACATCCATATTGTCAAAAACTCATCAAAAAATTCAGAAGAGATCTCTCCAAGTGCGACATTTTGGTCGGATCGGGGTGAGATGATTGCTTACATTCGTTATGATGATCAATTCGTTCACAAAGTTTACGTTCCCAAATATTTCAACACTCGACAATACACAGAGTGAGTTAAAGAATGATTAATAAAAGGTAAAAGAGAGATCTAAAAATTTAGTTATTTGGAAGTGCCGTATCCAAAAGCTGGTGTACAGAATCAACCTGAAGTCACCTTATTTTTATGGAATGTTAAAGAAAACAAAAAAGTCGTTATTTCACCGCCCGATGAGCTGATGGCGAGGAATTTGTGAGTGTTTAGGGTTTTGTAAATGAAATTCAAGATTTCTTTAGATCTTATTACATTTTCTCAAACAATTTCATTACGGTGGCAATGAATGGGACAAGAGAAGAGAAATTGTTGACTGTTTGGTCGGATAGAGAGCAAATGAATATTTATATGACACTTTGCGATGTCGAGGATTGTGTTTTTGGTCAGTGCTATGGCTTTAAGGAACAGAGAGCATTGAACAGAGAGCATTCAAGCAAAAGCATTGAAGCACAGGGGGCAAAAGCATTGAAGAAACAAAGCTTTTTAAATTCTTCTTTTGATTTGATTGGAAAACTTTAACTTGAAAAGTCTTCTCCTTGAAATTTCAATCTTACCATCAACGTTATTCGTCCGAAATCCTTGATCTTGACTTGATTTTGCTCTTTTCCAAAACTCTGGCAACCCTTTTACCCAATCACAATCTTTACCAATCCACTTATACCAAAAAACTTCTTTAATCATTTCCAGACTTACTCTCAAAACTACGAGATTCACGATCGACAACTTTGGAGTGAACCTGAAGATTTCCAAGTAGATTCATTTCTCTAACTGAAAATCGGAAATTTTCTAGAAAATCATCGCCTCCCCAAGTGGCTTCTTTGTAGTTTTGCCCCCATCAATACACTGATGGCAATATCTATCAACATATCGCACACATTCGCGTACAGGTCAGAAAACTAGCTTTGATTTCATTAGACAGAGTGCACTCTGTCCAATGAAATCAAGCTAGTTTTAATGAAATCAAGTTAATTCTAATGCAATCAAGCTAGTTCTAATGAAATCAAGCTAGTTCTAATGCAATCAAGCTAGTTTTAATGAAATCAAGCTAATTCTAATGCAATCAAGCTAGTTCTAATCAAAACAGAATTGTCGCAACAAGATAAAGTTCTGAAAGGCAGATAAGAGGAAAAAAGAAAAATGAAAATGAAATATCAAATTCTAATCGATCGCCATTAGCATTTGAGAAGGCTCGCAGGCGTTTTGGGAAGGCGTCAATGGTGATCAAAAAGACTGTATCGAGCTCTTCCCACGCTTTCAACAGTGATTTCTTCAAGCTTTTGATGTTTTTGTGGCGTTTTGAACAAGCTTTGGCTACAGAACCGACCACACTGAAGAATCCATTGAGTTGAGGTCTGGATAGCTAGGCCATTCAGAAAAAGAAAAGAAGTCCGGGAAATCGTTTTGACAGAACTCTTGGACTTTCTTGGATTTGTGAGCCGGTGCATCATCTTGCTAATAAGTCCAAATGCTATTTCCAAAATGTTTACGAGCCTAGAGCAAGAGTTCATCCTTGAGAAGAGTCAAGTTTTCGGTCAAGTACTTTGGGCAACCAATATGAGTAGAGTCTTTCCTGTCGCAGTAATGCAGCCATCTTCGAGACTCCGAGAAACCAATTCAGTTCAGATCTGGCCTATACTCAAGGATTTTGCTTGTAAAGTTTGTAAAGAAGGCCTTTAACACTAAATATCTTTTATCTGTGAACAAGATATTGTGATGATCGATTCCATTGACTCAATAATTGATCTACTCTCAATTCTCGCTTGTTTTAGCGGCATTCGAAAGAAGTTGAGTAAGTTTGAGTTTATTTTTGAGGATCCGAAGCAATGAAGTGCTTGAAATCATCATCTTCTTTGTCATTTGCCTTGCTCTTCCGAGTTCGGTCCCCCACTCGCTTGATGTTTGTCTTTGTGACAACAGTTAGGCGTCTACCGCTTCTTCGTGCATCAGCAGTTGTTCTCGTAGCTTTGTAGCATTGTATAGTGTAGAAAATGACACTTCCGGTTGACTTTAAGATGCTTATGAATCCTCGTTTGGTAGCTGAGACTCCTCCTTTGTGGCTGAGACTCCTCGTTTGTGGCTGAGACTCCTCGTTTGTGGCTGAGACTCCTCGTTTGTGGCTGAGACTCCTCGTTTGTGGCTGAGACTCCTCGTTTGTGGCCGAGACTCCTCGTTTGGTAGCTGAGACTCCTCCTTTGTGGCTGAGACTCCTCGTTTGTGGCTGAGACTCCTCGTTTGTGGCTGAGACTCCTCGTTTGTGGCTGAGACTCCTCGTTTGTGGCTGAGACTCCTCGTTTGTGGCTGAGACTCCTCGTTTGTGGCCGAGACTCCTCGTTTGGTAGCTGAGACTCCTCCTTTGTGGCTGAGACTCCTCGTTTGTGGCTGAGACTCCTCGTTTGTGGCTGAGACTCCTCGTTTGTGGCTGAGACTCCTCGTTTGTGGCTGAGACTCCTCGTTTGTGGCTGAGACTCCTCGTTTGTGGCCGAGACTCCTCGTTTGGTAGCTGAGACTCCTCCTTTGTGGCTGAGACTCCTCGTTTGTGGCTGAGACTCCTCGTTTGTGGCTGAGACTCCTCGTTTGTGGCTGAGACTCCTCGTTTGTGGCTGAGACTCCTTGTTTGTGCAATTCGATGATCGATTGTCAATGGGGTTTCTTCAGCTATTCTAAAAAAATAACACATTTTATATAAAAATTTTTCAATTATATTCCAAATATAATAAAAAGACCAAAAGAAAAACTAGAAATGAAGCTTAAATCAAGGAGTTATTTTCCTTGGACGTGGTGCCTTGCTGCGACAATTATGATGCCCTGTATATAGCTAATTCTATAGATATGGCTGAATTTCAGGACGATGGCTCAGGACGAATGACGACTTTTCACGGTGGGACATATGATGTGATCAAGCTACACGGATATGATCAAGAAAAGGACACTTTGTAAGTGAAATCAATAGAATGAGTTCCAGATTGAAGAAATAACTCGAAAAGAAATATAGATTTTACGAGTCATCTGGTGGTGGGATCGCTTTCAAGCGATTGTTCCGAGTTCGAAGTGCTAGCACGAGATTGGCTCAGGTAGGGAGGGGAAATTATTTAAAAAGAGCTAATCCTGGATGTCATGAGAAAAGATTTTCAAAGAATTATGTGAGGAAAATGAAAATGAAATTTTAGATTCAATGCATTAGCTGCTCGGTTCCAAATTGTGATTCAGCCACGATATCGGTAGGGTTTTCAAGTAATCATTCAATTTTTGCCGATTTCAGGTCTCTCCACGGGGTAAACGTGTGGCTTTGACGTGTAATCGAGCTTTTGACAATGGGCGGCTTTACCTCATGAATACAGCCAATAATAACGAGTGTAAGTTGTACAGTAAAGGAATTTCGAGAAGTTAAGTGGAAAATTTTGATTTTAAAGTTTCTAGTGACATCCAGAAGTTGGAAAAATGATAGAAAAGAGTTTAGTTCATCAGCTCAGAGGCTTCGAGGCACCTCGTTTAGCTTTTGATGAGCCGATTATCACTTTCGAGAAAGTTATGTTGGTCTCAAAGATTGGTGAGTGTGAAAGATGGTATTGAAATGTGAAATTGATTTCAGAAGCTCACGTGGGAATCATGCGACCGCCAAAGTTCGATCCAACTGAAACGTATCCCGTTTTGTTGGATGTGTGAGTTGACGGGTAGAAATGATAGAATTCAAATTTTGTTTTCAGTTACGGTGGTCCAAATTCCTACATTAACAGCTTGGAGACGCCGTGGGATTTCTTGGTATACCTTTGCTCAACAAGACAGGTGAGGGAAAAGAAATCGAATGGGATTTGATTGATTGACTTTTAAGATTCATTGGTTTCTGATTTGATCCTGGCTTTATTTTAAAGTTTACATTGATTGGCTTTACTTTAAAGTTTATATTGATAAAACTTTGATATAAGCTTAGAAAAGTATATTGTTTTGGGTCAAGTTTTAAAATTTACTGTATTGGTTTGAGGAGTTTTTCAAACATTGGTTCAAGGTCAAGTTTTGATAAAAATCGATTTCTAGATGATTGTTGTCTACATCGATGGCCGAGGTTCAAAACATCGTGGCTGGGATGTGAAGGGACCGATTCGGAATTCGTTTGGAGGACCTGAAGTCGATGATCAAATTGATGGGATGAGGTGAGTGGATTGGTTCAATTGCCTAAAACAAAACGATCTAATCAACTTGCCTAATCAACTTCCCAACCAACTCGCCCCCTATCAACTTCTTAACACCCCCCCCCCCCCACCCCCCACCCTAAAAAATTTAATATCAATTTGCCTAATAAATTTGCTTAATCAATTTCCCAATTTCACTTGCACAATCTTCTTTTCAAGCAAAAATTCTCATTTTTTTTTTCAGAAAAATCATTGACAAGTACCCGTGGATGAACAAAAAAGCGGTGGCTGTTTTGGGATGGGTTTGTTTAGCAAATGTTCCCTTAATTCACAAAATCTCAGTCTTACGGTGGTTTCCTCTCAACGCATATTGGGGTGAAAGACAATGGGAACGTTTTTCGGTGTTCTCTCGCCGTCGCTCCGGTCTCCGATTTTCTGCTATATGGTAAGTGGATGATAGGTTACATTTTAACTATTTTAAGCTTAAAATTATCCAATCTGGATGTCACTGCATAAATCCCAGGGCACAATTCATTCCCACAACCATTTTAGATTCCGCTTACACCGAGCGTTATATGGGTCTACCGACGGAAAATCCCCAAGGATACAATGTACGTTTTTAAGCAGTTTATATCAAAGTGTGAGCTCCAGGATTAACTCTAAAATGAAAAACAAATTCATAGAGGAGATTTTTCAGAGCTCTCGCCTCACCGACAAGATCACCAAGATGAGAAATGTGCACTATCTATTGGCGCATGGAAGTGCAGATGGTATTTGAATAAAAGGAAAGGTTTAAATGTTTCAAAATCAATTTCCAGACAACGTCCACTATCACAATGCGGCTTTATTGGCGGGTGCTCTTCAGGAGAACAATATTCCATTCACTCAACTCGTTCGTTTCTAGAGATTTGTCTAGAGCTTAGAGTGTTGTCTAGAGCTTGCTTAGAGCTTTGTCTAGAGCTTAGAGTGTTGTCTAGAGCTTAGAGCTTTGTCTGCCAGGCCTAGCTAGACTAAAGGCTTTGCTTTGAACTTTGAAAAGTGATAAAACCTTAGTCTTCTAATTTTCCAGGTCTACACAAATCAGCTTTGTCATATCGATTAGAGCTTTGTCTGCCTGGCCTTGCTTTGAACTTGGAAAATTGATAAAAACCTTCATTTTCCAGGTCTACACAAATCAGGATCATTCAATGGTGAATGTCCGTCCACATCTCTACAAAGAAATCACAAATTTCCTCGATTCAAAATGTTTTTCCGATCAATTTTTATAGTTTCTTTTAATGAGCTTTTTGTTAATAATTGTTAATATTTTATTCGGAAAAGAAAAAACTGTGAAAATTCTCACTTCATTTCATTCCTTTTTTTTATAAAAATTGATTTTTACAGAAAGAAATCGTCTGTGATCTTTTGAAATATTTAAAGAAAAAAAATTTCTAGTAAAATAAAATGTGCCATTTTTGAAAAAAAAAAAACTTTATTTGCTTGTGTGATTACTCGATTTCTATAAAGATTTGATAAATTGATAAAATTTGAATTTTTAAAACTTTCATTGTCAATATTTTATTTGGAAAAGAAAAATCTGTGAAAATATGTGAAAAAAAAAAATATTCTTTCACTTTTACATAAATCAGGATAGATTATAGAAATAGAATATAGAAAAAGCTTTAATAGCTTTACTATTCAATTGGTTTAGAGATGAGTTTTTGCATAAATTTCAAATGTTTTCCCTTAATCTAAATTCTTATTAAAGTATTTCTCAAGTTAAAATTCGAGACAACACACTTTGAAAGCTTTCAGAAGAAAGCAGGAAGAAATAAACAAAGTTATTTTCCTTGAACGTGATGCCTTTTTGCGACAATTTATGCGACAAAATTCCCTTTGCTTCCAATGCCTCTTTATCAAATTCATTTCCCGTTAGAGCCGCTAGATTATGGAACTTGCTCCCAAACGACATACGAGAAATTCAGTCGCTTTTCATATTCAAGAAACGTATCGATGCTTTAGATCTAGTGGCTCTTTGCCGTAAGTATTGGGTTGATGCATAATTATCCGGACTTCTTTTTGCGTGCTTGTATCTTTTTTGTTTTGAAAGCTTTTTGTCTATTTCTTTTTTTTAAATATTCGTTATTCTTTAGTGAACAAAATGCGTGTCGACAATCATATCCATCTTCGCCATATCATGCTCTACCACTTCGAAAAGGGATGGTCTGCCGCAGAGTCGTTTCGCGATCTCAAAGAACTGGAGAAGCCCCAACGGACTACCACGTCAATCGATCGCTCAAAAATTGGCAAACAAATAAGATCTACAACGATTTGGATGACTTGATAGACGATGTTAAAGCGTGGATTGCCTCCAAAGATCGTTTATTCTTCGCTCGTGGAATCGATCGTCTTCCAAGCAAATGGCAATCAGTTATTGATGTAGGCGGTGAATATGCTCCAGAATAATCAATTAAACATATTTTTCTAACTATTTATGTTATTTTTTGTTAAATAAAATCATTTATAAAAGAAGTCCGGATAATTATGCATCAACCCAATAATTGGCTTATTGATTTCAGTATGTATTGTATGATTAAGTATCACTGTGCATTTCTCTATCATTTCTTTCACTTTATCGTTTGAATAAAGTATTATTATTAATTATAACGCCCTGTACAGGGTGCGGCAAAAGTTCGGAGCCGCTATGAAAACATTGCAGAAAATTTAGCTCACGCTTTTTTTTTGTGTGTCTCGTATACTTTTTTCCCCTTTTTCGAGTATAATTAAGGTGATTTGTTACAAAAATTTTCTTTTTAGGAGAAAATTCGTAAGAATGAACGCCAAAAAACGACGCGATTTGATTCTCGGATTATACGAAGGCGGAAAAAATAGCCCGGAGCTTGTAAAAATCATGAAATATCCAAAAAGCACCGTCAACAAAGCAATTAAACGCTACAAGGAGATAAAGAACAACAAGGATCGCCCTCGAAGTGGTCGACCACCAACTGCCGTCACACCTACGAACATCAACGAAATTCGCTTTCGGATTCGCCAAAACAAGCTGCGGTCAATGCGAAAGATGGGCAAACAGCTGAAAATTAGCCCTCGAAGCGTTGGAAGGATTGTTAAAGGGAAACTAAGATTCTTTAGCTACAAATTGGCACACGTCTTGAGCGACAAATCCCAGAAGAAACGAAAGCGTCTAGCAAAGAAGATGGTGCGCTCGGTGGCGACTGGCCTACTTGAGAGGATCCTCTTCACAGATGAAAAGATTTTTTCTATCCAGTTTGAGTTTGAGTTTATTTTTGAGGATCCGAAGCAATGAAGTGCTTGAAATCATCATCTTCTTTGTCATTTGCCTTGTTCTTCCGAGTTCGGTCCCTCACTCGTTCCTCGTTTGTGGCTGAGACTCCTCGTTTGTGGCTGAGACTCCTTGTTTGTGCAATTCGATGCTCGATTGTCAATGGGGTTTCTTCAGCTATTCTAAAAAAATAACACATTTTATATAAAAATTTTTCAATTATATTCCAAATATAATAAAAAGACCAAAAGAAAAACTAGAAATGAAGCTTAAATCAAGGAGTTATTTTCCTTGAACGTGTAACCATGTTGCGACAATTATGACGCCCTATATATAGCTAATTCTATAGATATGGCTGAATTTCAGGACGATGGCTCTGGACGGATGACGACTTTTCACGGTGGGACATATGATGTGATCAAGCTACACGGATATGATCAAGAAAAGGACACTTTGTAAGTGAAATCAATAGAATGAGTTCCAGATTGAAGAAATAACTCGAAAAAATATAGATTTTACGAGTCATCTGGTGGTGGGATCGCTTTCAAGCGATTGTTCCGACTTCGGAGTGCTAGCACGAGATTCGCTCAGGTAGGGAGGGGAAATTATTTAAAAAGAGCTAATTCTGGATGTCATGAGAAGAGATTTTCAAAGAATTCAGGGTGAGACATTTATTTGTGTATTAGTGTAAGTTTAGATTAAAGGCGGCAAATAAGAAATGGATACTCCTTTTAAAGAAGAAGAAAGAAGAGGTAAGTGACTTTTTGTATATTAGGCTGTCCAGAAAGCCATTTTTTTTTTTCCTTTTTGTACTTTCGTTTTAAACCAATAAATGCACGAATTAACCTATTGTAAATACTGTAATAGTACCCCACCCGGGTGGGGTACTATTACAGTATTTACGGTAGGTTTACGACTACGTGACTGTACGAGGGGGGTGCACCCCCCTCGTACAGTCACGTAGTCGTAAAAGTTTTTTAGTATTTCATTTTTTTCAAAGCGTCCGTACTTTCAAAAAATGCGTCTTTGATATCAAAAAATAGCTGAAATTCAGGGTTATTTTTGGTATCTAAGCGCGCATTGTAGCCTAAACCAGTGTCGAGAAAAACTCGTTCAAAGCTAGACTACACGACACTCCGCACCATCATTATGGGGCTGGGGTACTATTACAGTATTTACGGTATGAGTTTCCACTAAATAAAAAGGTTTTTATTGTTATTGTAAAGCGTTTTCTATAAAATTCTAGTTTATTTTGTGGTCTAATCATTTTTCATTTTTTCTATACTTCACATTATCTTTTCTAAATTCGATACACTGAAAGTCAACTGATGATTGCCAAGCTAATGTCAGAATTCAATCTTGACTTTGAGACAAAGCCAAACTATTAGGTTGTTGGGAAAATAATCGAAATAAACAAGACTCAAAATTTGTCTTTAATTTTAAAAATCCTTTTGCGTCATTGATACTAAACTTTTTAGCTAATTGTGATTGATATATGTTCTTCTCTTTTATGCTTTTTTTTTTTTAAACTTTACAATCAATCTTTATTTTGAATAAAAATTGAGTGTTTTAAGAGCATGGATAAGGAACAATTTTGGATACTTTTTTTTCTAGAAGTTCAAGCTTGGCCATACAGCAACAGAAGCGACTGGTAATATCCACAGGGCATTTGGCGAGAGAAGTCTTTCTTATGGTATGGTCGCCTTTTGGTTTCGACGATTTCACTCGGGCGATGTGACGTTTCATGACAAAGAACGTCAAGGCCTTCCAGAGTTGACGATGAAGAATTGGAAAAACTGGTGGCAGGAGATTCGACCAAAACATCTCGAGAATACGCACAGGACCTTCAGGTTGATCATTCAACAATTTTGCATCATTTGAAATCAATCGGGAAAGTAAAGAAGATGGAGCAATGGATCTCGCACGAATTAAGCGACTCGCAGAGGCCATGCCCTTTCACTTTAGATTCCTTATTGCCAGGCCTAAAAAGCTTACTTTGTCTTAAATTTTACTTTAAAAAACAATGCCGATACAACTGAACTCTCTGACGGTGAGCAACTCAAAATGCAACAACTTGAATTGTCACTTTCCGAGATGGGTTATCGAATCAATAGCTCAAGAAACTGTATGAACCGTTGCCTCAAAAGCTCCACTCAAATATGATACTTCAAATGCGCATCATCGTCACAAGAAGCTCTCAAAACAGGTCGAACGCCGTATCAGAAACAAAGCCTCAAACTCTACGAGTGGCAAACTTCGAGGCAAACGAAATCAAGCTTGATTTTCAAATTCCAGTGTCAAAGTGGACTGATTTTAGATGAAAACTCGGCCAATCGTGCTCACTTACTCTACATCCCACTCAATTGTTTACTTCCGAAAAACTAACCCCATAAAATGTTTCATTTTCAGAAAACACTCGATTTATTCAATTGGTGCGTAGATTTTCAATCGAATTTGATTTGATCGGTCAAGAATTTCCTCATGAGGGGGCCGATAATTGAAAGAGAAACAACGAAAGAACTAAGGAAATTGCCGAAATTGACGAGTCTGTTCAATGAGCAAATTTTTTATTTCCAACTGGAATTGCATTGGGTAATCGAGTCAATTGAGTCAATTTTTCTTCAACCCATTCGTGATCTTTTTTTTTAGGTCAGCTAAATTAATATTTTGATCCATTAGGTATGTGAAAAAGTAATCCACGTTTTTTTATTTTTATTTTGTTTAAATATCTAAACAATTTTTAATTTTTTGTTAACGATATATATCGTTTAAAAGCTTATTTTTTTCCTCTTTCGAATGATATATTTATTTTGTTAAAAGGACGACAATAAACTACTTTCATTTTAGTTTAAAAATGGTATACACAAGTATCGCCATTCGGTCAAATTTGCTTTATGAGTTCAAAAATGGGTTGAAAGCTGCGGAGGCTGCACGTCGAACTTGGAATGCGTTTGGCGAAGACGCCGTTACTGATGATACCGCTAGGTTTTGGTTCCAACGATTCAAAGGTGGTAATGAAAGCCTAGAAAATGAACCACGTGGCGGGGTCGCCCTGAGACCTGTCCGGATGACCAAATAAGATGCTGTCTTCTCGAAAACCCTCGTTCAACCTCTTCAAAAATAGGCCTTACATTAAATTGTGATGGGTCAACCGTAAGGGAAACGCTTGAATGCCATGAATTTTATCAAAAAGTTGGACAAATGGATACCGCATAAATGTTAAAAACGTGGATTACTTTTTCACACACCTAATAGAATTGAGCCTTCATCAGCTAGATTGTTCTTTGATTCAGATGAGTAAAGAAATAACGCTTAATAGCCGAATTCATATCAGATTTCAAAAGATTTAGCGCAAAATTATTTCTGGTACGTCTACTATCATAATTCTTCAAGAAAAGAATATTCCATTCACTCAACTCGTTCATTTTATTCGATTAAACGCCACAAAGAAATCAAGAAGTAGGAAAATAGGAAAATCAGAACATTAACGGAATCGGAACATTCAAAGAATAGAATAATTGATAAAGAGAAAAATGAACCAGATAAGTTAAAGACATTTTATTTTGCAAATGTTTTTTCTAGTAACTTTAAAGTCAATTTTTTCAAAGCATTTTTTGCTGAAACAAGAAGATGCTATAAACTGTTTAATGAGCAGTTCTTAAAAAGAGCTATTCTTGAAATCCTGGCTTCTGGATGTCACGCTAATGGATAAACACTCTGGAATCATGATCACTCAATATTTACTGCAGGCACTTTTCAACTTTCGCGTTTCTATAGAAAAGTGAAGAGTGAAAAGAAGAAAATGTTCAATTTAACTCTTGGATTTTATTTGCTGGAACACACACTACTGAGCGTAAGCAAGGAAATCAGAAAATTCAGAAATCTGTTGAAGGTGGTTTTTATTGAAACAGGCGCATGTTGAAATATTCTAAATGGGAGAGTTACTGTTTGAAAATATTTCTAAAATTTCAATTACTGGAAAGCACATTAACAGCTAACTACATTAAAGAGAGGATATTCACAAAATTTTCCAAGGCACTTTTTGTTGAAAAAAAAGGAGTATGTCGAAAGTGAGTGAATGGAAAGCTCAAGTTCAAAGTCAACTTTGAAATCTTGGTTTCTGGAAGGCACTCGAGAAGTTCGAACGATCATGCCGAGGGAATTCAGCAATATTTTAAAGGCACTTATTGTTAGTATTAGTATTGAAAACAGGTTGACTAAAAAAAAAAACTGAAAAAACGGTTGATCGGGTTGAAAGTCGTTTTTGAAATTTTAGTTCTGGATAGCACTTGACACTTTCAAATAAATCTCCTCACATTTTATCCACTTTTCTAATAATGATCTCAAAATTGTTCTGACAGAACACTTTTCTAATGGAGTTTTTTTGAAGAAATGGTTAAATGGGCTAAACTGTCTATGACCGCACTAATCGTTACTTTTATGAAAATTGCCGATTTCAAGAATTTGCACAAAATTCACCCACTCACTCAAAACATTCATTTGTTTAAAATCAAAATTCAAAACGTTTTTTTCTCGTTTTTTTTTCAAATTTGCTTACGTTCAAAACACGTTTTTAATGAGAAAATTCTCGAATTTCTAAATAACATCTGGAAATTTTGATTGATTTTTGTACGAAAAGTTTTAGAAAAGATTAAAAATTGTATTAGCAAATTATTAGCAAAACAACGAAAATAGACCGCCTACACAAAAATTTAAAAGTTAAAAAAGCTAAAAAAAGATGTGAGGATGAGAAATTAGCAAAAAAAAAAACCCCTAGGGACTCAGTTTAATAAAAGAGTTTAGCTGCAGCTTTTTAAATAATTTTAAACAAACAAAAATTTGCTTTCAAATCAGAATTTAGCAATTTTGTGAGGGTGGGAAATTTAGGCAGACTCTGGGGGATTTCTGGGGATTCTGGGGGAGTTCTAAAATCGAAATTGAATGAATTTTTTTGAAAAACTTACTATAAAGCTAAGTATTTGGCAATTCTTGTGTTTTGTTTTGTTTTGTTTTTCGGTTTTCTTTTATTAGGTTGGCTGAAAAGTTCTTTCCATTTTTTGACACTAGATCTAACTTTTTATTTTACGCATCGCCAAATAGAAAACAGAATTTATCTACTCGAAAGAGACATCAATAACATCAATAACATCCTGCCATCATTAACATCCAGCCATCAACATCAATAACATCCAGCCGTCAACATCAATAACATCCAGCCACTTATCCGGCAACAAATAGATTCCGCGGCGGTAAAACTTACGTGGCTTCGAATCGAAAAACTGAGTGAGTGACAAGCGCATTTCCTCGACGTTCGACTGTCCATCGGACTATCATCTGTTCAAATATTTTGTCCAGAATCGTCCGATTATCATTTTCTCAGGTCTCTGGAGCATCATTTGCGTGGAAAGATCTTTCAAAACGTCGAGGAAATGCGCTTGTCACTCACACAGTTTTTCGATTCGAAGCCACGTGAGTTTTACCGCCGCGGAATCTATTTGTTGCCGGATAAGTGGCTGGATGTTATTGATGTTGGCGGTCAATATTTCGAGTAGATAAATTCTGTTTTTTTTTATTTGGCGTAAAATAAAAAGTTAGATCTAGCGTCAAAAAATGGAAAGAACTTTCCGGTCAACCTAATAGTAAAATGAAATGAAATTTCCCTTAAATGACTCATTTGATAGTCAAATTTCTCTCAAAACCGATAAACAAGTA